CTGGCGAGGCCATGGACTAGAAGGGGCTCAAAGAGTGCTCCGCGGCAGCCTCGAGCTCCGGCCACCGATCTTCGTGAATAATGGACGCTTTTCATTTCACCACGTTTCTTCTCGGCGATTAATTAATCGAATTAATCTCGATCCTCCGACTCGATCGAATCCCTGAGGGACACTGATTTCTTTCGCGATTATACCGAGACCGTAATGCGATTGATATGTCGGATGGATGATTATTGGATAAAAAAGGGGATAAAAAATATTTATTTTATTTATTATTAAACACATGCATCACAATGCATTTTTTTCAAGAACGGCTATAAACTCTTTACATCTTCAAGTTTTAAATAATAATATGATATATTTTTTTTCCTAGATATAAAATATATCATCAGAATTATATCAAGGTAGATATGTATATTAATATACACACACACACACACACTCACATGCTGTCATTTTTATTTTACTTTTTGTTGTTGTTTGTAGCATTATTTATAATTAATCTTTTTTTTATTTAGCAATTCAAAGAAACTAGATGATTCTCATTGAGAGTTTCGTGATCTTTCGTGGAGTTAAAATGTTTTCTCGCTATGGCATGATAAAAGCGCGAAAACCTCGCCACGGCGAGGAAGAGCGCCTCGTCTGTTTGTCTACAACTCTCTTTGTCTTTCCTTCCTGCATACAGTTACCGGGCCACCAAAGAGGTTTTAAAACTTCGGTGCGCGGGATTTCATTTTTTAACCCGCACCACCTTCCGCTAAGTTAGGATCTACGCTCCAACAGTAGGGACGCGGAAAATGAAGTTCACTCTTAAATTAACTCCTCGCGACTGCGCCGAGTAAGGCGGTGTGTTCTCCACGTATACCCGGTGGCAGATGCAGCTGCAGCTGCACCACGGCAGGACGAAGGACAGCCAGAGGGAGAGAGAACGGCGCTCCGTGGATGTTTAAGTACATTCCTTGATTTTTCCTCGCTCGACTTTACCCAACTCTGACGAACGGCGTGTTCTCTCTTCGTGATCTTGCCATTATGCAAAATTTCCCGGGGCTACTTCGCAGTTACGGTTTATCTCGCTCTTTTTAACCGCTGCCTCGAACAGTTGCAGCTTTTGATGTTTTACACTATCTCGGCTGCTCTTTTGACGTCCCTATCCAATGCATAGCTTGTCTACATTTTAGTTAATTAATTAATACATGCAGCTGCGCCATTTACATTCGTCTTTAAATGTCCCTTTTCCCCCACAGCGCCTTCACCGGAACCGCTGGTGTTATTTTTTCATCCGCGAGAGAGAACTTTTGAAGGAAAAGTGCTGTTCATTATTTACAAAAATGTGATTAAATATGTGAAGTTAAATGAGATGTGAAGTTAAATAGGAAAATGCATCATCGTTATAGCGCGACGGAAGATTGACACGTTGCTCTCTGGCATTCGGCAGTGTGACACTATGAATTTTAAAATTGTTTTCCCAGATTAAAAGATATTTATAACATTTTCAATTCAATTTTGCAAATATTTTCGTACATCAAACGATTGAAATTATAAAGTCATTATTGCAAAAAGTTATTAAAATATAATTCTACTGCTAAATTAATTATACAAAGAGATCTATTAAATTTCATTGCGTCTGAGCTCTTTATCGATCGCATTTAAATGATCTTTCGAAGAAAGTAGACATTAAGATCTTCGGAAGATATCATCTTAAACGTGGCATGGGCAAGGAGGAAACTACTAGGCAGCGAGATTATAGCTTCTCACTGCACAGTCAGGATATAGGACGAGCCTGAGAGAGCCTACACGCCAACCTACGTGGGCTTAGCCAACATTTACATAGGTGCAAACGTAGACTGAATAACAATGCTTGAAACGGAACCGAAACCAGCCGTGCCGTTCTAACCGAGCGGGCGTACCTGTACTTATGTTAGATGCAGGATTTACAATATGTCCACGAGAACGAATAATTCTGTCCAGTAAACGAATAATTTCAACAGTAATGAATCTTATCGGCAATTTGTATTCATATTTTCGTCAAAATAAACGCTATTTTACAATTTACGTTGTAATTTGCAAGCAAAAGTGGTTTTTAGGGAAGGAAATTTTCAAAATTTTATTGTTGCATTATCAATTTATTTGAATTCTTTGACCAATCTGTATAGACTGATGGATTTATAAAAAATTAAGCGATTTATTTTAGGCAAAAGCATCTCTTTCCAAAAATTTTCATTATTTGTCTTAAATTTAATTGAAATTAACTGATGAATACAGTTTTGCGTTGCAGGGATTTTAGTTATCTAATTGTAAGCATTTTCTACTACTTTCAATTATTTTAATTGGCATTCTAACATTTTTATTACAAAAAAATTGATTTCAAATTTATCCGAAAAATTCTGGTTTCCATTGATTTTGATGAAATTTTTGTTATGTCCGTTACCTGAAAATATCATGCGTTTTATTGATATTGATATACTACAATAAGCGTCCGTATGTGCATGTTGTTCTTTCTAATTATCACATATTTGTTAAAAAATTGTTTTAATTTCAGCGCATCGAGTAATTAAATTATACCCGCATATCGTATCGTCGTTTGAATAATTGCTGCTGTATCGATGGTGCCAGTAACAATAACGGATATTTATTATTCAGTCGACAAGCGTCAATTTGGACAAATTTAATAATTTGTACATGCGCATTTTAGCCCGTTTTTGGCTCGTGCCGATGTCATTATTTGTCAGAATATATCCTCTATGTTGCTAACTGCGCTGTCGAGCTTGATAAAGTAACTAACACTGGCAGTAAATACTTCGTGACTGGCGTAAACAAATTTAGCTGGTAGTTTACGAGCATTGACAATTGTCCGCGAAACCTATATGAATATACTTGATTACGGACCCATTTCAAGATTGGCACTTAATTACAACGAAATGGTTATATGTTCACATTGAGCTATTAATGCGGATATAGGTGGTCCTTTCAAATGCGCCTGTTTTCCAAAATATTCGAAAATACGCGAAAAATATTCACGTAATTGAAAAAAAGCGACATCAAATTTAATTACAAATTAAATCATTCATATTCATACATATTATATACAATTGTACGTTATAGTATTCAAAATTTATAATTTTCGTAATTAAGAAAGAGAGAATTTTTCGCCGCGATTTGATAAAAGCTGTGTTCAAATTTTTTTTATAAATACATAATGAAACAAATCGATGCGCATATCTATGCTGCGTGCAGAAAATCTAATATAAATAGATTGTGATAGCAGTATAGGCAATACAATGAAACTTAATGTTTTGCAGTAATATAAATTAGCGAATATACGGCGCGCTTCCACGCGTCACGTGCGTAATATGCACGTACGTGGTCGGGTCGCAGTGAAAAAGGGTCGACCTCATACGACCGCAGCATGCTAACGAGAGAGCAATAAAATTAGTCTCAAGCTAATTAAATCGAACGCGCCTGTAATAGGCTAATGCCCGGTAATTAACAATTTGCGCGGCGCGCGCGCCAAAGTAAGTATAGACTGTATACGGCGGAGAGGTTGGGGTGTTGGAAAAATACTTACAGGGGAGGTGGCTGCTGAGCAAACGGTATGCCGTCGTTTAAGCGCCACATGGTGCGTGCAAGAAGCACCGGTGGTTCCGATGCTCGTTCATGCACGGTGCAAAACCGCCTGCTTTTGCGATATTCATGCTGGGCTGCACGCTGCGTTAGCTCGTGACGTCTTTATATGTATTATATGTTGTGATTAAATTCTGCAAAATGAAATTAATCCACCTACTGTTTTGCGTGGACGTCGAGGCGGATACGTGTGGCGAACAATAGTGGACAATAGTGGACAGATTGCCCTCGTTTCTTTTAATTTTTTGCACTTTGATCCTAATTCAAAATGTAGCAATTATTTTATTTGTTGATTTTAATATTCATTTATTTAGTCATTTTTATATTTAGACAAAATGTCCGATAAATTGTGAGTGATGAGGCAATTCCTGAATGAACAAGAAAGGAATATAGAATATATGATTTTTTTTTTTTCTTTTCTTTATATTGGTTGCGCATTTTTGAACGATAAACGCTCCAATTCCAAAATAAAGCAACGACACGAAGAATAAAATCGAGATAAAGCCCGATACGGAATTGGCAATATGAATTGTTCCATTACTCTCGGTTGATCGAATAAAAATTATTACAACCGCCCTGCCAGAGGCATTCGCGTAGTTTAAATGATGTGAATTGTCGATGGCAATTTGAGTATACATGAACTTTTAATAGATACCTAATTTTTAACTCACTAAATGGAATCACTTTTAATTTAAAATCAATTTTATTATCATTATTACAATCGCACAGAATGCTCCGCAATTGAGTCACCGATAATCAAGCGTGGAATTACTCTGCAAAGGGTATATATACATCATGCGTCTGGGCCAAGGTTTGTTAGTTCCCCTTGGGATTTACTTAAGCATACGAACGTGCGAGAAGTGGTAACGAGCAGCACAATGGCAGAGTATGAGAGAAACGTAGAACAACGGCATCTCGCATATATTCCATCTCCTTCTCACCCTTCTCACCCTCTTCCTCGTCCGATATCCTCCTCTTAGGATTCTGCCACGGCTACATTCTCGTCGTCAGTTAAATTGTGCCGATTGAATCGAGTCATGTCCTAGTCGTTGCAAGTCGAGCTCGGCTTCCCATAATTTTACGGTAATGTGGTAAATTCTCACGCCGGAAGTTCTAATGATTGTCGGTATGATATACCAGAGTTATACGATCCGCATGAAATACTGTTTACATACGGGCGATGTGCGTTTTACTTTGAAATTACAACTTTAATGATACTTATAATAAAGTACCATTAAATATGATTTATTTGTTAAACAAATGTGCAAATATAATATATACTTCACACATTTTGAAAGAGATAACGCTTGTGAAACTCTTAACTAATAATATAAGGATAAACAACAGTTTTTATTTATAAAAGCATGTTATGAAGCATGTATAGAACATATTCGTTTATTTGAAATCGATTTAAGTTGGAGTTTCTTTCACGGAAATAAAAATAACTCCCGTGCTAAAGTGCTAAATTTATTATATCACAATAGATCTTATTTCTTCACATACTGTAGAGTTTTTATGATATACTATACAAAGTTAGTAGAGTTAGTAGAACTGTTTATTGCAGAATCACGCGTCATGAAAACGCGGATCGCATGCCGTTTAGGACATTTTGTTCACGATGGCTGTATGCAAAGATTGTAATTGTCCTGCCCACTTGTCAAGAGCATTGTAACGAGCGGCACATACTGATTTCTTATCCAATTCAAGAACTTGATTCACCTGCAAAAAATATAGAGTAAGCATGACGATACTAATATAATTAGGATTTTAAAAAGCTATAGATTATTTTAATGTTACCTGATCTATACGACCATGAATAGTATTGTCCAAAATGCAAGATACCAAAAGACTTTCCACTTCCGAAACGTCAATATTCAATTCTTTACTTATAAAAGGAATATAAATTCTGGTATATGGTCTTATCAACTTAATTAGAACCTAAATCAATTGCATACAATCAGATATAATATTTTAAACATCTTAACAAATTACTTATTATAAATATTGCTAATATTGTTATTAATGCAGTCAAAATGATATACCTGTGTACGTATGTTGCGTAATAAATCCTCAATATGTTCTCTAATAAAAGGATCATCCATGATATTGTTCCTATTTTGTTTTAGAATTAATTCAAATTGATTGATATCATTATTCTGATAACTGACAACCAGATTTGTCATTGCTAAAATTTCAGGATCGTTCTTATATGGTTTTGCTTCTTGTGAATCAAATGGGTTAATACCAGATTTCATTAACCTGCAAACCATTTATATATATATTTGTTGCATTAATATAATATAAATAATGATCATAATTGTCATTATTATTATTGATCATAATTGTACACAGTTGATAACCATACTTACATATTAGCCAGCACTAAGTATTTCAAACATGTTGTACGTCTTGGTGATCCAGATTCGTCATAATTTTTAAAAGCTTCAAAAAAATCAGTATGAGCTCTTTCAAACTCGCCCTCCCTTAAATGCATTTTTCCTCCACATTCTGGAAGAAAGTACAAAACCTTTTTCACTTTATTCTCTTAGATAGTACTTAATAGTACTTAAACAGTATTTATACATGACATGGAGCTGTAACGTTAAATCTACTCAAAATTTGTTGCTTTGAAAGACATTTGTATTTCTTACCTCTGATAACACCCATAATTAGCGGATGTGGTATAGCACTTTTAATATGAAGACTCTGTTCATAAAGCGTTTTTAATTTCTTATTATTCTTTTGTGCTGTATACATCTGGATTTCTAAGGCATAAATCTCCAATAGCTGTGTTCCTTTCTTCAAATCATCTTCTCCATCATCAGTCTAAAATCCATATAATATACACATATAACATGTTCAACCAGAGTATGTTATGTCATATTGCATATTTAATATATACATACTTGACAACTTTGATGAAGCTGTTTTAATATTTTTGCCAATTTATTGAAATCTGAACGATCATAATATAGTTTCCCCAATTTTGTATTTGTTTTAAACCATAACCTATCATTCTTTGCATCTTTTAATGCATCTAACGTGGTTTCATAAAAATCTTGCAGTAATTCCATCTTAAAGAAGATATCCATTGTTTATAATTTTCAAGAAAATTTCAATATTAAAAAAATTTGAATAAACAGATATCTAATAAAATTATTAAAATATTAAAGTAAAAAAATATTAAAGCACTTACATTCTTCGATGTACTAATATAGTCCAATATAGAATTTATTGACTTTTCTGAATGGTTTCTAGTAACTGCACTTTTGATATAAGTTAACAATTGTTTATACCTTGCCATCATCTCTTTATAATTGGACTGAAAAAGTAATGTTATCACTGTCTTTACTTTTGTGTATATGCGGATGTGTGCGCATGTATATATGTTTAACGTTAATGTATACGATTACTATCTATTTTCCACATACCAATTTAAAATTAATTTTGATCATCTGTTTCAAAGCTTTAAAACCCCACTCTCCTTTCTCCCCACCTTCTAAATCCAATACTTTTTGGAAACTTTGTAAAGCAGCTTTCGGATCATCTTCTTTAAGAGCTTTGCTGTTATAATATTGATTTTCTAAATCCACATCTGGTTCAGAATTAGAATCTTCGGAATATTCCTATAATAAATAACGATTAGAATTTACAATCAGACTACAATTATTTACTCAACAGCAACACACTTGTTTTTACTGCTAAGAATAACGTTACTAAACATCAAATTTTTTGGTTGAATAATTAAGTATGTTCACAAAAAACATAAATAAAGATTTTTGACTATAGATTTGATTATCAGCAAATAAAATATTTCGAGGTATTCCTCAAACTATTTTTAAATGCTATATATAATAGCTCTATGAATTCTAACCTCACCGCGTACCGGAAAGATGTGTAGCAAAACAAGACTCGCATAATCTACGGAGGAAAACTTACCAATCCATAATCCTCTTCTTCTTCGCACATAAAATCATCCTCGCCATCTGACATTTTGCGAGATCTTAATCGCAAACGTTAGCTCAAAAAATCTCACGCGATTCTGTTGACAACAACGGTTATATCAGATCCAACCAAACCGTATTTTGAATGGGTATAATACAGTAGCGCAACTCGTGTCGGTATTTTTAATCTCGAATAAAGATGACGTACGCTCATGCGCGAACGGAGATGAAAGAGGGAAAGACAAAAATCTGTATTACAATTTTTTATTATTATTGCACATGTGTGTACGACATTCTTAATAATTATTTTTAACACTATTCCCGAATTTAGCTTTATAAATAGTAATATTTTTTATGGAAAACTGGGACTACATTTCATAAACTTGCAGCATCCTCTGCTCACCTTTGCTCGCGCGCAGTCATAAATCAGTAACGATGTGGCCCTGTTTACACCTTTCTGGACGTGCTAGGTTGTATTTGCAGTAACAAAATGAGTAATTTAAATGAAACACCGAATGAACCAATATTGTACGAATTATTAGAATATTTCGTTCGCAAACAAGAACCAGAATTGATAGTAAGTCCAAGACTGTTAGAAACGTATACAAGAAATAGGTTAAAATATGCATTGTCATACTTGTGCTCTATTCCATATTTTAGAAATGTAAGACTGATGCAGCTATTCTCCCAACTTCTGGCACAATAAAAAACGACTCTCAGATATCTCAATAATAGGTATTCCTTACCTGAGAGCATCTCACAGCAAGTTAGTCTCACATTACCATGGAAGTTTGCTGTTGGAGATCACGGTCGTGTACTTGCTATTCTACAAGAAAATGTTATTGAAATACGAAAGGCTAAAGATGAATATTCCTCTATTATAGGCAAAGCATCTGGTAAATAATGTGATGATATTTTTACATATACTCGTCAAGTTTTCCAACAAATATTTGTTTTTATATCTTGCTTATATTTTTTAGCCCCAAAAGATGCATTTCCTCAATGGCGTAAACTTGCATGGAGTCCAGATGGAATGATCTTAGTATTAGCATCTAGTAGTGGTTATACATCTTTTTATAATGCATTAGGAAACAATATTTTTAATATAAGTCCAAAGACAATGTCACAAAACCCACATATTCTTGAAGCGGGTGATGCAATAGCATCTATGTTGTTTCTTAAACCAAGGGTAAAACATGAAAAATGGGCCTATGAATTTATTTTAATTTCATACAGTGGATTGCTCAGATCCTATCACATTTCTACAAATGCCTTTAGTGCAAATTATGACTTCTCTTTTGGCAATTTTTATAAAAATGGTATTAACGCTGTAGCCTATGATGAGAAGCACAACTTGTTTTACGTTGCTGGAAATATAATCACACAAAAATTGACTGTAATTATCTTTATAAAGTATTATTTTTATGCATATGATTATGTACAATTAGATATACTTATACATATTTATTTCAGTCAACTGCATCAGAATCTGGATTAACCTCATGGCGGTTGTTGAATGATTATCCATACTGCAAATTGTCGTTTACATTTGAGGACTCTGCTATAAACAAATCACGGTTTTCTGTGTGGAATTTAATTCCTGTCTTTAATTTTCAACCAGGATCAATCATATTTATGATAAAAATTTCACCCAATGGTGAATTTTTGGCATGCTTGCATACAGACGGTTCAGTCTCACTATGGGGTTTGCCAAATTTAATATTACAAAAGAAATGGAAATTATCTGAACAGCCGGAATATAATACACTCAATCCTATAGGACCAAAATCCAAAAAATTTCCACCAGGTTTTACAGAATTTCATCCAATAGATATTGGCTGGTGGTCTGATCAGGTAGTGCATTTTAGTTGTTTCTACCTGTCATCTTTACAGTTTCTAATATTGCTTTTCTAAAATAATACTATATTTTATACATATATATTTTTTGTTTCAGGCTATCATAATAGCTCGATATTCAGGGTCCACATCAGTCTGCTCCACATGGAACTTAAAAAACTTATTAGGTGTTAGTCCAGAATTCTTAGCAGGGCAACCACAAGTATGTGAGCTTGGTTTAGAAAAAGGATGTTTATGTTTAGATTGTGAAACCTTTATTACAAGCAAAAAACGAAGCAGAGATACCAACGATGGTCATTTATCAGGTTTGTTAATACATTTATCATTACTTTTGTTTTGTAATTATTTTTTACTATTTATATGTACAATTCATTATTTTTTTAAAGCATAATTTTTACACATTACTATATAAAATTAAAAGTGTGACAATTATATGCAGAGAATAAAAGCAAATTTTTAATTTTCTGATAAAGAAGCGTCGTCGGAAAGTGAGAAGGATGATGATGAATCAGAACCCGTTACTATATTCAATTATACGACGAATTTGGTGCAAAGTACGTTGTATTCAATAACTGATATTGAAACATTTCAACCAAAAAGAAAGAAGTCGAAAGTATTACATCGAACTTATAGAATCTTGGGCTTAAAAAGTACAACCCCGGAAGAGCTTTATTCTAGAAAAATAGACATTGAGGTAAACAATTTGATTAAGTTTAATCATTTAATGCCTTTTACTAAATAACTAAGAAATTTTATATTTTAGGAATACGAGGAAGCTTTAACTTTAGCGAACACGTATAATTTAGATACAGATCTTGTATATCAAACACAATGGAGAAAATCAGAATTATCTTTAAATGCCATCTCTGAACATTTAAGTAAGATAAGTAAAAGATCTTGGGTATTAAATGAATGTGTGTTACGTGTTCCCGATACCATAGAAGCTGCAAGGGAACTATTGAATTTTGGATTGAAAGGTGCCAATCTGGAAACTTTAATAGCAATTGATACTTGCGATAATGACAAATTCATAACACCTGATACAGATGAAGATTGGCCAGATGAAAGTACTGCAAATTTACGACAGGTAAGCAAAATTATTCGTGATAATAAGAGTTTTAAGAAATGCACAGTATTAGAAAAAAATTATATAACTTACTATAATTTATTGAGGTAAACAATTTGATCAATTTTACTATAATTTTTGGACAAATAGGTACAGAAAGTAAATGAAATGCTTGAGAAGATTGAAATAAAAAACTTATCTGAGGCCCAGAAGAACTTGATTAAGTACCGAAGACAACTTTTGCGTCACTTAGATAAATTACTCACATACGAAATTATACTGGAGCCACCACTAAAATATAAAAAAAAGTTTTACGAGGAATTCCGAAGACTCTCAGCTGTGGAAAATGCTGTTAGGTATTAATACATACACATACATTTATTACTGATTTAAATATTGTCCACTTTTATATTATCAAAAATACTTTTTTTAAGTACAGGTTTGCCAAAGACGGCGATTGCCGAAGCGTGCAGATAATGTTCACATATTATGGAGAAAGTTTACTGCCTCATTGGCTAGCAATTATTAGCTTTTTCCCAGAAACTTTAAATCCATCGGATTATGAAAAACTTTTGCCAGAATGCGATTCGGAAAATCAATTATTTTTGTTGGATCAACGTGAATTACGACAAAAGGATTGGTCAGAAAAATATCAATTTAACGAACTAATAAATCAGGACTTAATAGATGAGGAATACGAAATATTGTATGAATTAGATCCTTCGTTATTAATATATAGGTAAGTTCTTTATTTACAAAGTTTATAGTGAATTTTTTTAATGATTTATATGACTAATTATTATTGTTTTGTTTTTAGAAATGTGCAGCTTACGCCAGACTTGTTGGAAAAATGGTATAAAAGACGTGCTTACGAAATCGAGAAAAATTGTTCTATGGTGGATAACGCTTTACAATTAATTAAAATCGCAAAATCTCATAATATCAATGGCGTGGAGGACTTATTACTAGATTTGGAAACTTTGGATGATCTTGTGTACAAAGTCTATCTGGAGGATATGTCATTAGATAAATTAGAAAAACTGAGTAATTTGAATAAAATAAAACTTTTAATGAGTACATCTACTGAAACAAACTTTGTCGAGAATATAAGGAATCTTTTATTGCCTTTTATTAAACGAAGACATCAATATTTGGTATGTATAGCCACATTTTAAATAACTTGAATTAATTTATAAGTAAATAAAATTTTATTTAAAATTTTAGGGTGGAGATCTTCAAAAGGATTTATTAAGTGATTATCTAATCTGCTTAAGCAAAGACGATTTAACTTTTCCAGTTAAATTTTTCGAACATTTGAAACAAGTGCAGGATGTTGAAATGGTTAAAATGATAGATGATATTGCTACTTTAGCTTTAAATTGTATATATGCTTGTGATGATCTGAACATGTATGAAAAAGCGAGAAATATCTTGGACTCGATTTTAAAAGATCATGATGGATCAAGAGCAAATGCAATAAGCGATTTATTAGATGAACTGGAAGGAGAACTTGATTGTATGAGACTTCTAAGCAAGTATGGAGTGAAGACAACATTAAAATTTATTCGGAACAACAAAACCAATCCCGATGTCGCTCGATCACTATTAACTCAAATGTCAAGAAATTTGAGTAAAAGGTAACGTAACGCATAAATTATAAATTTATTAATTCTACATTTTATTTTACAGTAAGCATTAAAATAATAAATTCATTCTTATAGGCTGCTACCTCCAGATGAAAAAGAATGGGCACAATTATTGAATGATATGTTAGACGTACATGGATTAATCTTTTCTTGTGTCGCTGTCGAAACCTGCTTCGAAATATGCGTTTCTGCTCGCTTGGTGTCGGGGATCAAATCTACCATTCAGAATTGTGCCACTTTGATAGAAACCAAGAAAAATGAGAAATCTTTATTAAAAGTATTTTATGAAAAGGCGATTAATCTTATATTAGAAGCGACAAAAGAATATTTTAACGGTTCAAAAACTCTTACCGATCCAAACATGGAATTGGCTAAGTGAGTATCTCATTAATGTACTAATAATCATATTGTAACTTATACATAACATATATAAATAATTGTTCTAGAACTTGTCTTCATCTTATTGAAGATGACAATGCGAAAATTAAAGAAGAATATGATCTTATCAAGTCGCTCCAAATTTTGAACGAATTTAATGTCGACATATTACCTCTGCAAGTTAGATTAACAGTAGATAGATTAATTTTGATTGAACACTGTTTAAATAATCAGCGAGATGCTTATAAAAATCGACAGAGGTTATTAACGTTAGCATCTTATTTACGAGTCGAAGGGAATAATAATAGGCTTCGCGAAGGAAAAGTTTTAGAATTAATAGCTAAAAAGGCACTCGAGGTAAGATATATTCATTTTCTTTTATTTTTCATAATTTAATTTTAAAATATTTTCGAAAATTAGAATATAAAAATTATTATTAATGTTACTTTACTTTACAGACTGAAGATTATAATACATGTGCTACGATATGTATGCAATTAACACAAAATAATTATCTCCCTGCCTGGGAAACTTGTTTAAACTTAGGACGTTGCGATGATTATCAGGATTTAAATATTAGAAAAAAATGTTTATGGTTTGCGATAAATAACGGTTCTAATGATATATTGGGCAACGCTTTAGAACACATACATCTGATAGAAACGCAAATCCTACATAAGAATTTAGAATTGTGGATGCCTTCCGTTGAATTTGAAAGTTTAAAAGATGAAGAAAGTGATGAAAGTGAGGATGATTTTACAGATGCTATGACAACGGTAAGAATCTAGTTTAATAAACTAATGTTTTTTCATTGCACGATATAAAATAACTTTATTCTAATTTACAGCCACAAGTGGAAGTAAAAGAGTTTGTCCCTAAAATGTTAGAAACTTCAACGGAAATAGTAAAAAGTTCAGCGAATATTATGAAAGAATCTACGTTCGGTCTGATAAAAAATATTAGTGATACTAATTTTTGGAAATCTAGATTGAGGTTTAACTTTACAAATAACTCGAACACGCAACACGAAGCCGAGGGAGAACAAAGCGAGGAAGACGTCGATCTTCAAAGTTTCCCGTGCTATTACGAATCTTTGCACGAAATGTGCAGGATAAGTAATAATGAAACAAGATACAATAAATATTCTATGGCGGATATACAAAATATAAGATTAAAATGCTGTCGGGCTCTTTTGAGAATAACCATTTTGAGCGAATCCTCTTGTTATGGATTAGAAGTAAGCGACATTAATCATTGTAAGTATTATATCAATAAAAATTTTGTCGTAAACACATTACATTTATGTAACAGAAAATATAAAATGATTTTATTTCAGTACTTCTAGAATGCGCAAAACATACCATGCAAGACGATTGGTTACTTGGTATGACATATTTATTGAGTTTAAATAAAGATCGTGTTCTGGATGCTCAAGCAATTTTCATGGATTTACCGCAAACTGAATTATATATACAAACTGCGCTTTATTACTATTCGTTGGAATTACATAAAAAATTGTACACTGATTGTGAAAAATTATACTTATACAGTCCGTTAGATTTAATGAAAAACATGATGGCTGCAGCACAAAAGTCGGAAAAATGTGATATTGTTAAAGCATTGCAATATTGGCAGCATTGTTTGCTTGGTGGAACACAAATTGATAAAACCGAACATCTAGTAACAAAAGATACAAGTACGCTGGAACAAGATGGTGCTTGTGTGGATTTTGGAAAAATCACGAATAAAGAACAAGAAACTGTCGAAGATATTGATGTTAATGTTCCACTTGTAACTTCTACGACAGATGAGAATCCGAAGAAAATTGCCTCTGATGACGTTGATGTTGTAGAATGGACAGACGATTGGGGAGATTTTTCTGACGATGACACAGAAGCAACTAGTGATAAGAAAAATAAAATTGGATCCAAAGAAATTTTGCAAGCACAAACTGTCCTTCCATTTGACCATGGCATTGATGAGTGCGTAACAGAGGAAGATCGATTTAATTTATTTCAAACGTTGCTCAATCGAACCGATAATTTACAGCAATATCAAAGATTGAAGGAAATAATATCGGAATGGCCGCAATTTAATATGCCGAATCACATTACAGTGGACAACCATCCGATATTAAAAATGATGAAAACGATAATTTTGTTAATACCCAAAACGGATATAATTGATTCTGAAAAAAGAATATTACAAGAGCATGAAGAACTCATAGGATTATTAGCATCTAAAGAGGTACTGCAATGAATTATATATTTATATACTTAATTATATACTTATTTTTTGTTACAAATAATTAAATGTTTTTTTTATATTTGTGACGCAGATTCTTAAGCAGTTCTTGGAGCTCGAACGCGATAACATTAATCTTGTACAAAATGTTTACATAAGATTATGTTCCGAGGATTCGTCTATGCACAAAGAAGCAGTAGATTTTATTAAACAACAACAGGTCAGTCTATCTTACGCGTACGAATTTGTTAGCTTTAAAATCAACATGAATTAATAACTTTACTTTTCTAGGCCATCATATTACCATCATTAGTGCTAGAGAAACTTTTCCTGAATGATTTAACAGCATTATTTAAACCGGATCACGATGTATACAATCAGATAATCGAGCACGTATTTATAAACGAGTCTTTAACCAACGTTGAGAAAAATGCAAAAGTTCTCGTACATGAATTGAAGAAGCAGAAATATATATTGGAGGCTTTGAATATTATAAGGCTGATGGAGAAAATACCATCGGCTATGTGTACGTTTGACACTTGTTTTGAACTATTAATGAAGGAATAAATTTATTTCGAATGTAAAAAAGCTAGGATCCATTTTAAAGAAGGGAAGATAAAAAAAGGTATAGAAAATATATTTATTATATAAATAATCTTTGTGAAGAAAATTTATAAGAGACGCGCGTACGACATAGAATTTAAAGTTGTTTAAATTACAAAGTTCGATACTTTGTACTTGTGTAGCAAACGTAGAAAGGATTAAACAACTTTAAACTCTCGCGTACGCGAAGTTTCCTCCGACGATATACAATTTTTAAATGTTTATGTTTCTCTTTTGTAAATGTGTATATTTATGTGTCTATATATATACACACACATATATTTTAAAAAACTTATACACAAATTAAATTATTTCTCAAAATAAATGTATCATACGAAATAAGTAAGTTTGTGTGTAAATGTGCGTATATGTGATACATTATCTAATTAGCGATATCTTGAATTCTTTTATGAAAGATTAGCAACCGAGTCAGCCGTATCATTTCTACTGGTGTTTCTCAAATCAAGTACCTCGATTTGGTGAATCTCGAAAGTAATCGCGCGCGCTATGCGTATCGCCGACGGTTTTATCGGTCTTGATAAGACCCAGTCTTTAGTCACTGCGATATGCTGTATCGCGCTCTATCATTTTATACGCCCAATTACCATTAATGTAAATATTGTGCGTTTGTACCCTCTCATTGTGCTGAATGTCAGCGATGATTGAGCGTGGACTACGTTCGCCGTGCGTACGATCGGTCTTCTAACTTGGTAAACTGCTCCGTCCCTCTGAGAACTTAGTGTGCCGCTTTCTTTGGCTGAGTAAGCACGTCTGTCGGGTAAGTGATACGTGTACAATGTGTTCATGACCGTGAATATTTATTTTCTTTCTATATGTTATACAATATGTTATACAAAATACTTTAAAAAGTTTTGATTATTGCATTTATTACAAAAATTATCACAGTGAATATTTTCATTTTTCTCATTTTGCTGTTTAAAAAGTATTATGTTATAAGTTTGTATTACACTCTTGAAATAAGTTATCCATTCATTTATTATCATAAGATTATAAGTATCTCTAATTTTTAAAAAGAGTTAAAATATATAATAAAGCAGCCTTCAATTTAACTTCTATCAACCGATTGTAATTTGTTCTTCTTATCGTTTAACATTCCGTTTGATACTACTTCAGTCAACTCATTAATTATTTTGCACTTCTGCTAATATACGAAACACTACAGCCGTCGTTTATTTGTGCAGTTCGACGATCAATCATCCGAAGAACAAAGAAGATATTCCAGCCGGGAGTTTCATTCGCTCCTCCAAACGTCCTCTTCCGCCGCGAAAGGTATATTTACGTTTCTCTTTTTCATCGACCCGGCTCCCCCCTTAATAACTCTGGGCTATTTTCGTGCCGCGCACCACGGCAGCGATGGAGTACAACGACACGCTGTTGATACCGGGCCAACGTATACGTCCGCCCGTGACGAAGGATATGGCGGTCGCCCTGCTGGAGCGGATCTACGGCATGAGGGCAACGAGCGTGCGCGAACTGGACGCATACGACGACCGTAACTATCACGTGTTGTGCGAGGAGACGCATGTGAATCCACACGTGACCAGCCCGGAGAAGGCCGGATATGTCCTCAAGGTGATCAACTCCTTAGATTCTCGGAAGACTGGCATAATCGAGGCGCAGAACGAGCTAATGATCTTCCTAAATCAACGGGACATCTGCTGCCCGTTGCCGGTCAGGAACGTGAACGGCGCGTTCTTCTCTCTGGAGAATCTAAAGAGCGAGAACACCATGGAAAGGTACGCCGTGAAATTGCTCGTCTACCGTCCCGGCAAACTTCTACACGATGTAAAAGCGACCGACGAATTGTTGCGCAAGGTTGGCACTTTCGTCGCCAGAATCGACGAGATCCTCGTTGGATTCAATCATCCCGCTTACGACGATCACAGGACAATGTGGATGCTGACTTCGGTGCCGCAAGTGCAGCAGTTCACGTACGCCGTCAAGAGCTCGCTGGACAGGCAGCTGGTGCACGACGTGATCGTCAGCTTTCAGAAGGAAGTGCTGCCGATCACGGATCAGTTTGAGCAGGGGATGATACACGGCGACTTGAACGAGCATAATATACTCATGAGCCTCGACGGCGAAGACATTACCGCCGTGATCGATTTCGGCGACTCTCACAGAACTTGTCGTATTTTCGAGCTGGCGATAATTCTCTGTTACATGATCTTACAGGCGGCCGATGTGAAAATGGGTAGATACGTTGTAAAGGGCTATCAGGAGATCAGGAGGCTGACCGACGTAGAGAAGAAGATTCTTAAGATCAGCGTATGCGCCAGGATGTGCCAGAGTCTAGTAATGGGCGCTTACTCGCATCTGCATGATCCCGAAAATCAATACTTGCTGACCACGCAGAAAACCGGTTGGACATTGTTGAAAAGACTATGGCCAATGAGCCAAAACGATGTAATGGAAGCCTGGGGTTTGAACACTGTCTGAGATATTGATCAATTTGCCATTGTAATCCAATGGCATACTTGAAACGAAAATTGGAATTTTATTGTTTGGGACACATACGATTGTATTTTTGTACAAATATTTTGATTTATCTAATTGTAGGTATTTCAGATAATATCTTTATGTCCAAGAATTGAACAATGTATTGAGAAAAAGCTAGGATTACTAGTAAGCGTTTGATACATTTGATCTATAGTTTTCATCAATTAGTATTTCGTCGACGCTAGTGAGAAGCAATACAATTGCCTTTTCTTCGACAATCATTTTTCTACGCTTCAAAAATATTAATATAATTTAGGCTATCATGCATAATCCATTGAACAGTATACAAATTGAAGTGGAAAAGTACGTTTTATTCTATGGAGATAGATAATATTCTAGTGAATTTCTTTTCAAGTCTATGTACTCTGCAACTTTAAATATTTTAATACCGTAAAGCGTAGTTCTCTAAAGATAACGACAGAAAAAGTAATAAGAACTGCAAACGCGTCAATATTTTATGTATAAATTTATCGAGTCTTTTATTGACCGTAACGCTTTCTGTAGCTATGTAAAGTGAGTTAATTTAATAGCTGGAGCCGTTCAAAACATAAATATTATAAATGCAAATCTCTTGTCATTATTTCTTTTCAAATATTTAAATATTAAAATTAATATTAATATTAAAAGAATATGGTAACCAATTAATTGATCAAAAAAGTTTTCACGCTGAGAATTTTTGAAAATAATGAATTGTGTATATATTTTTTATGTATCGAATCTTCTAATCTCCCGGTTACAGACATTCTTCTCCATTTTGTTTTCACGTACGGCTTAATGGATTGTTTATACACGAAACAAAAATTTGCTGGCACGATAAATTGTACGTTTTTTGTAGTAAAATATTATTATATGGACAGCAAGGAGATTTGTACATGGTACGAATATTAATTTTATTTGCTGAAAATATTGCAAAAAGATTGCCAACAAAATAAGTTATGTTACTATTGTAATAAATTCTATTTTTATTAGCAGTAACAATTTAACTGCATTTGTTAGAAATCGATTATTTTATCGATTGATTGATTATGCCGATTTTACGTCTTTGTCCGAATTTATAGAATATGCACTATATTTAAAAAACATTAACATTGTCAAAACCAATGGTCAATTATAAAAGCAATAATTTTATAATGTATTTTCGATTATATGCAATAATCTATACGACTTGAAAATATAGCAGATATAAAAAAGATATTTTTGTAAGTGTCGTTCATTACGTTTTACATTTTTTTCAAATGTGGAAATGTTTAAAAAAGGAATCCTCTAAGTCCTAAATCCTGTTTTGAACATTACACACTTCTAGTAATTGAATATAATTTCATATAATTGCATTACGACACGGTAAGTATATTTAAGTAGTCTGAAATTGCAATCCCGCTAAATAAAAGTGAAGCAGAACAAGAGCAGTATTGTGCAGTGATATATCCTCTTGTTTTATTCGCATTTAGGCAGTTACATATTTACATAGATATCATGAACAGTAATGCTTACGTACAATACTAAGTGTGGCGCCATTTTACATACCTACATCGTGATATATACAAAAATGTACGTGTTGAAACTCATTTTACTTTTAAGAGTTGTCGTGTTACATTGATTAACCGGGAAATATAACTTATTTCTGGAGTGATACCGTATCAATTTAGTAATACATCAAGATTGTATTACTTATAAGGTAAATATTAATTAATTGCTTACTGAAACGTGACAGAGGCATACATGATACGGTCAGTTGATGACACATCGCCGTTTTTCTAACCGTGATCATATGTGGGATGTATTAAAAGTCACGTGTTTTCTCTCAATTGAGGAGTGCGTGGCTGAGAAAAACTTTCAACTTTCGATACATCCGGTGTATGTTACTCGAAGTTATTCACTGTATGTTTTAATTTCATTACCAACATATAAAGTCATATTTTATATGCGTGCATGTCTGTAATTTACGTAGCTTGTAATATATCTTCTTTTACCTTCATTTTAATAATCTAATTTTTATCTCATTTATGTCAGCTCCTTTTGGCAAACTGCTTAGCTGTGTCGAGGCAAATTCGTTGGTAGCGAAAATCTGTTCACAATTTTACAAAATTATATTAACATATAGATACAGAAAATTCTCATAGGCACCGCGTTACGGGGGATGAAATCCAAGAGGATGTACTAGCATTTTTACATAATCTGTTTATATATTGACAACGATAATTACAAAAGTTAGAGACTTTTAGAGATTTTAATTGATTTTTAAGAATATTTCTGTTGATGTATGCCTTCTAGGAAAGTGTCAGTGCCTATGATACAATTAATTCGTCAAATAATACGATTATAATGTATAAAAGGGGGGGCCAAATTCTTCTCCGATTATATTTAATATACAATCTGCACAAGGAATCGGTCTTAATTAAGTTATAAGTTTCATAACTAAGTTCTCTATGAATACGCGATAAATAAATACTAGTAACGATTAGATAAGATGAAATATTTAGAGGCACATAAGTAAAGTCGAGTCCTTTAACGAACAACGGAATGATCATGTTCACGAATTTTCGCCAGAGAGATTATTAACAAAATATTATATTACAATACTTATGTATTTTTATTGCTTAGGATCTATTGGCTTAAGATCGCCCGACGGGACGCTTATAGGCGCGTAATAATTTATTCATAACTTATATTCTTAAATAACATTATATCTTACGTCCGCACGTACAAATAATTTATATCAGAATCTAACGCATAAAATGATAACGTATCATTAAATGTATGTTCAAAGATAGAACGGAAATAAATATTTCTACCGATTTATGATATTAAACATTTCTTTCAAACGTAACTCCGTTTTTACATTAATGCCCAAGAATAATGGCATTTGAAGAGACGAAAGTCGCGTTTCAGTCTTAAAGAATGACTTTTATCACGTTCAGAAACAATAAAATGGATTACGCTCTTATTGTGAGGGAGAGATATAAAAAAATAAACCTCAAGAAGGAATATCTCTAATATGTGACACAAACTATGCTTCCCAATTTCCCAATATTTAGCGTTTTATTAAAATTTGAATATTTCATTTTGCTTAAAGCCATTTTCCGTGCGACTTAAAGCACCAACATTGACAATATTTAATAACATGTCGTTTCCAACGATACGTCGCAATAATATTCTTTTCAGAACGTAGTAATAAGTTTTATACTGCCGTTTTTCTCATTGAACTGTAACAATATAACGTTCTCAAACTTTCTTGGACGAATGCCAAATTTTCATTTTTTTTTTTTCCTTTTCTTTTAACTAGGAGCAAGGAGCTTGCGCAATTAAAGAATTGCGCCAAACTACACGTGACATACGCTAGAAAATTATGATTTAATTAGTTAGAAATTGTTAAGATTGGCGAGTTTCTTTATTACACGAGGAACGTTCGAGGCAAGGAGGTGAATGAGTTCTCGCAATGATACGACGAGGAAACTATTACAGCGAAGTAAATTTGGTCGACTTCTTTCTCGGATATCCTCTATCTATGAATCGGACATCGTAATACCGTGCAACGCTATTCCACAGTGGACACGCTCATTTCGCATGTTACATAATTTACTAACAACAGGCATCCCGGATGTGTTTACATAATGTCACGAAATAATTGTTCGACCAATTTCACGATTTACATTCTCTGTCTCACGCGCACTCTTCATTGTCATTCATTTACGTCTAATCCTTACACGAGTCCACTTGCAATTACTTTCCCGGATCTAGCGACATGATGCGCAGCACTGTTTCTTGTACAGCGGCACCTTGCACATGTTCATCGTTTTCACTCTGCTGCATAGTTGCGAATTATCCTTGCAATCTTCTGCAAATTTTGTAACGAGACAACGTTAGTAATAATTAGGATCTTTCAATTTGAATTCATACGAGAGTACGTAGTTTATTAAAATTTGTTTATTTCTTGGAAAGAGTGCACACTCACCAGGCGACTGAGGACAAGGCGGACCTCTACACGTTTTCATTACAGGAGGTCGTGGTATATCTCTGCAGGCGTTTCCAGCTGGCTTTTTCGTGCCGAACCAGACGCACTGCAGAATCCTATACTTAATACCATCTTCTTCGCAAGACGCGGTGCACTGTTAGAAACAACGTTATTAGCGTAAACATTGGCGTTGCAATATTGAATTTCTCTAAACGTAAGATTTCAATGCATCACAATAAAGTTCCAATAACATGATAAGGGATTCTAAGACATGGAAAATAAATAAAATGTATATTTTAATATTCTAAACCGTATCTTTGTTTGCAATATATGAAATTTCAATGCGTCGTGCGGTGAAGATCGAGATATATCGGTGCCCTTTTAAAGCGAGAATTCACCTCTGTCCATTCGCCGACCCTCCAGACGCCCTTGCAGGCGTCATTGTAGCACTCCTGTCTTTGTAACGGCCTCGTGGCTTCGTCGCACTTGCTCGCATCCAGCAACGTGACGTTCTCCCGATCGTCCTCCGTATCGTACACCAGACGACAGCTAATGTCCCGTTTCTGCATCGCCGTTTTCCAATTGAAGCATCTGGACGTTTCGCACGGAGTCCATTCTGTCGCATGCCATTGAGGGCATCTACCCATTCCGCAGGGTCTCACCTTCTGCGGTACTTGATGCCCGGCGTCCTCGCACAATGTCGCGCCGATAACTGTTCTCGGCGTAACGCGCGTGGAGTTGCCGTCTACCTTCGATCGAACTGTACACTGCGCACCTCGCATCTATGAAAATGAGAGATAAGATTTTCAACGTTATTAAAACGTTACAATGTGTGTTTGTGTGCGTGTGTATGCGTGTATGTGTGTGTGTTCTGATATTTCTAATTTCTTTATATAAATAATATAAATTATACAATCCTAATAAAATTTAAAATAGCATCCTCAAATAATACTACGAAAAGACATAAGTAAATACAATGATCAGGCATAATCTGAAATCATGAAATTGTGACTTATCGCTTCAAGCATCTGTCAGGCAAGTTCGTTAACAAACAACAATAATAATAATAATTTTGTAAATATGTTTTTCTCAAATTAATTTGAAGAATTATAAAAAATTCTCAAATTAATTACGGTGAGAAAAGTGGTCTTACCTGGAATCCACTTCCTCCGCAGGTTTGAGAACACTTCGACCAGTCGGTCGTGATCCACTCGAACACCAGATTCTCCGCATTCTCCACCGCTACGTTATAAGCCCTTCCTTTAATTATTGAACCACTTAGCTTTCATCAAGACAAAATGTAAGTTATTCAATATAATCTTACCTAAAGCAGCGAGCGATTCTACAACGGGATCCTTCGTCGCGTCGCCTTCCGCCGTTACGGTGGAGGCCGAAACGTTCGCGGGCGTATCTCCGGTCGGCGTATGTTGTCCTCTAGAAATCTCTTTGAGATTAATTAAGGAGGCTTCTTCCATGAATGCAACACGATCCTCTTGATCGCGAGACACGTTTCCCGCGTCTTCAGCGGAATTGTCTCCAGCGCTCGACCTGCGATCATCAATCAACGTCGTGTCTTCCCTCGCTCTATTTTCCAAGTTTCTGGTAACGGGAAATCGCGCGGCGGTATAATTTGTCGTGTGATTTTCCACATATGGTTCGATCTTTCGCTTATCGGACTCTTCCTCGAACGCGTCACTGTACTCGATTGTCTTGTTCGCGTGGCTTAAACTACGATGGTCCAACTCCGCTATCCTTAATCGGTCCTCGAGACTTCTAGATATCATTGTGGGGGTGACGGTGGATGAATCTTCAGTTCTCCGGTTTCCATAGGCGTCATGATTGATGGACTCATCACTATCGTCAGCAGAACTGTCCCCTTTCTCGAGCGTTTCTTTTTTCGTGCTGGAGTTCGCGACGTAGTATACGTCCGCGCCACCGTTTTCCGGGGACGTGATGGACTCGACGGTCATGATTCTGCTCTGAACGTGACTGTTGGGCGTGGTACTCCACTGACCTTTGTACTCGTCTCCCGGTTTCTGCCATTGCCTTTTCACATTTTTCAGCGACTGCTCCATATAATCGATATCGGGCTTTGTGGCGTGCTTGGTATTTACTTTCTCCATTACGCCGGGCGTCGGCTTAATGCCGTCGCCGTGCTGCAGCCCGAATATAGATTCGTCCAGGTCGTAGGGATCGACGTCGATGAATATCCGCTCCTCGTCCGGACCGAAGGTCTCGTCTGGGATGGCCGTGTTGCGATATAGATTGTCCAAGCTGTCGTCTATGCTCTGATACATCAAGTCGGTTCTTCCGTTAGACATTCTACGCTTCGTCGCCGTCCTCCCTTTATGTCCGTCCCCGACAAATGACGTGGAAGCGGCCTTGCGACTACCGCTTGCAGCCATTTCGCTGTGAAACGGCCAGTAGGCCTGTCATAAAGCGCGTTAATATTGAGCATTAACTTCGATAGAATGTAAGCATTTATGCCGAATAAATCGTTGAAAATTCGCTACAGCGGCAATTCGCTACAAGCGCGCGTTACAAAGTTCATAAAGTTGCCGCTCGCGTGTTAACGTCTTACCTTCAAGCCCGATATCAAGTAGCTCAAGTGCGGCACGAGGGTAGAAGCACTTGATGGAGCAGGTGATTCCACGGATTCGTGATATCCCGGCTGATTGATAGTCAAATATCGAATAGCCGACACCGAGGAGAGTTAGTCCAGGAGTGCGAAGCAAAGGGTAAAGAAACCATCACCAGAGTGTTAGTTTGATGAAATGAATTCATGCATATGCCATTTGTTAAGCAATGTCAAAATACACGGAAAGGATTATTGTAGTAAGAGATAATTTGCCGATAGAATTTGCTTTGCTCGCATACCTGGTTGAAGGAGGTAACAGTATGCTCTTTGTGCATCATTGTGGCGTCCGACGGAGTGGGACTGGTTTTCTGCTTCTTTTGATGTGGTTTTCTCGTTGGCTTGCTGGGAGCCTCATGGCTGAGGTCTTCGCTGTCGAAACGATTTCCATAGGCTGCTGTAAAAAAGATTAAAATTGTGAAACTGAAAATTTCATTATTAATAACTTCCATAATGTTCAGAAACTGCAATTTTTATTTTAAAATTAAAAAAAAAATTATTGGATGCAATTTCTGAAGAGTTTTTAATTATAAAATAGCATTGTAAAATCAAGAGGACTTGCGTGGCGTTTTCAATGAGAATTTTTTTATCGTTTATACTTGCAAATCATATTTGTTCATACATTTTTTTTTCAAGTTTAAATAAAGTCTGAAATTTGGTATAAAAGTTTCGCTTACCCGCATGATCAGTGTAAGGGCTTTCGCCCGAATTTGCTGGCGCAGAATCGAGATTCGCGTTTCGTTGTAGGTGAACGGAATTGCCGAGTCGTAAATATTCCTCGCTACTTATCTGCTCTTTGGAGCGAAATTTTACCACCAACTGCGTCTCTGCGTGCGAGTTTCCCGCTAAAAAATTACCATCACATTTTTCATAACGATGTATTGAAATCCGGATAGAACATAGAATATGGCAGGTGAGACAGATCGCTTACCAATACAGGCATAGACTCCCGAATCCGAGGCGGCTATATCGATTATCTTCAAAGCTCCCTTCCTGCTGATCTTGTATTTTCTTGATTTTCGTATTTCCTTGTTGTCCTTCGTCCATATAATCTGCGCTCTGATAAAATTATTACATCGCAGCCATCCCAATCGCAATTACATGAATATTACTTCCATCGCACAAAACATATTGCACTTACTTGTCGAACTTTCTAACCGGACAGCGAATCTTGATAGAAGGTGTCCCTTGAAAAATCCTAGCGAGTCCGCCGATTTTCAAGTCCACCTTCGCATTGATGTCCGTTTGATTGTATACCGTGTTCAAACTAGTGATTATCGGCGGCACGCTTAAATCCGAATCGTGACAGGCTCTGGTGTTGCAAGGTTTCTCGCTGGCTGGCTTTTGAAGCGGACATTCGCGTTCTTCGCGATTCTGCTTGCGACCTTGTGCCATTATTTGCTCGCAGATCACCTGTCGCTTCTTCACACCACCGCCGCATGTTTTTGAGCACTAAAATCATCCAATAAATTCAAGTCTTTCGCAAATTCGCAAAATTTAACGGATCCTAAAGCATATTTTAAACTGTAATACATTTTTAACTATCGGTAAAAATAGCACAGTTATTTTAATACACATCAAACAATTCTAGTTTAAAATTTTCAGGTGCATAATTTAATATGTGAGCTTTTCATTGTAAAGATTAACAATAGATCAATTAAAAATTACTATTTTAACTTTCACATTTTACTTAATTTTACTATTCTTGTGTGATTTATTTTAATAACGGCGGAGTTCTATGGCTCTTTTCTCTTTGTAGAATTATAAAATATATTTGGTCCTTTACATCAAGTAGCTTCATAAAATTTTGGTTTGCTGAATGAGAAGAGTAGTTTATCATGCTGCTACATAGCTCACGTGTCGAGAGCTCTCTCTCCAGCATTGTTAAATCTTTATACAAATATATACAAGTACCTTCCCCCATTCCCCCGTGCTCCACTTGACAGGGCAATCCCAGACATTGCAGTATCGTCTGTCGGCGGGGGGCGGTTGCGGACACATTGAACTTGGAACGGGCACTGCCTTGCCGGTGCCTTGTGTCACTTCGTGAATACAGGTAACATCACGTGTCTGTATACCAATACCGCAGGGGCTCATGCAAGTGGAGAATTCGCTATAATTCCACCTGCGGGCGTAGACGATGACACATTTGTCAAGACAGATTGCGCAGATATGTCCGATGGTTGTATACGTCACAATAATTATAATGAAATTTTAGTCAACCGCACGCAGCGAGATAAAAGATAACATAATCATTTGTAATATAAGGAAATTATATCATTTAAATTTTAAACGTATTACAGAATGATAAAATCAAAATTGTAATATGAAAAACAAGTTAATAAACAGTTTTAGGTCAGAGCCGAGATCACACAAAACAAGATAGCTGTTCTTCTGTAAATTGATATTCTTTATGATATTATTGTATTTTTGTAAAATATTTATAAAACTCTTCTATATATTTTTCTTCCTGCAAATATTGTATATTTAACGAAAGAAATAATTGTTGTAAGTAGGACCAAAATTAACATTTATACGTAAGTTATCAGGATGTTATGGTAATCTGAGAGTATTTCGAACCGGCAACTCAAATATTATGCGAAACATCCTAACATTTAAGGCATTAAACTGATCGATCTGTTTACCTGGGAGGACACGGATGATCGTTACAGACTCGTACTCTCGCTTCCGGTTTCGTCTCCGTGGAGCATAAAAGTGGCATCACGGTTTTCCCAGTATCATCGCGAACGCAGTTTATAATAAGATCCTGAACACCTGTGGAAGAGAAACAGACACACATATATACATACAAAATCAACGCACGGTATTCGCTATAAACCGCAGATAATCCGCGTGAGCGGTATGTTCGCTCCTTTGTATTGCGTTAGACAACACAGACTAATCTTAATACGATTATGCGCGCTGTTAATTGTACAATGACATCGATTTTGCCCGGCTAATTGAGAACTATGTCGACGAGTTGAATTCATTTCATTAATCCCATTTCATAAACGATAAATGCCGGCTTTGGACAAATTATGCAATACTCGCGTATCCTGCTTACGCATATTACATAAGAAAGCGGAGAAAAAGCCAACAAATCATATAAAAGATTACTGAATTAATTTACATTCAGAGATATAGCTTTTTATTAATTACATATCCAGAGCTGTATATTTACTGAGATAACAAAGAGTGCTTTCGTAATGCATATGAAAAAATATATTTAATCAGTAATAACCAATTACTACAATTAAAGATTTGGATCCTGCCTGAACGTTAATTCAAGCAGAATCTTTCTAGTGAACTTTATCGACATGCAAAGATTTGAGTTCACGGATATTTGCTAAAATAAACTGAGATAATCTTTCGACATCCACATTTATTAGCATGGGATCAACGTATTTAAAATGAGTTTCAGTTCGAAGCTATCCATCATTTCGAAATCCAGATATGACAGGTTGAATTTGAAACCCAGACCACCCCGGTTGGTTAAGCCTGATCTCTTATCCGTTCCGATCCGTCCTGGAACATTACCAAAAGCAATCTCGGCAAACAATAGTCGCCGTACGTTACCTCCTAAGCAAGTAGCGCTGCAGGAGGTGTAACCGCCTTCCTTCCACGAGTACGTAGTCTGTACGTCGCTACCCGGGGCGACCTTGATGCTGCCGTCGTAGTCACTTCCGCCGGAACTCCCCGACGATGATCTACTACTGTACATGTCCGTCAAACTCGACTCGGCATATCCGCTGTCGCCGACCGTGTCGATCCTGTAGAGACTGTTTTCCAGCAAGCCGCACGGCTCCATAGTGCACTTCTCCGTCTCGACGGGTTTCGGACCGGAGCATTGGTTATCCGGCAACTTGGCGATCGTTTGGCTAAACTCGAGGTATATCTTGCAGCGCACCTCCCTGTGCCTGACGCCCTCGCCGCAGGTGACGCTGCAGGGGGACCATTCCTCAGCGATAAACCTGAAGCCCAGGTTCCAGAGTTGATCTCCCGGATATTCGCCCGTTAGTAAGATAATATGGTGAAAGGACGCGTCCGAGTGGAAATTTCGGCGGCTGAGATTATTAGGTCACGGAAAGATAAAAAATGTAATGGGCGGTCGCGAAATTTTTGGCAATCTACCTTTGGCGCGAGCACTTAAAAGAGATTCAAAGCGGTTTAAATTATTTTTTATGCATATGCGACGGTAAAAAATGTCCTAATTTTCGTGCTAAAAGAACTCGGAAAAGATCGGTGCTGAAATTCCATGGAAATATCGATTCGAATTAAATGTAAATTTTACAAAACGGTATGCTTTGCAGTAAGAATATTTTGCAATGCACAATTGTGCAACAAACTGCACTTTTCATTGGATGCAATAATTTACGATATTATCGGGGGGCCATAAATATATTTTATTATCGAATTTAATGTGTACGCGCGAATATATTCGTAAAAGCAGTGAAATAAAAAAGGTGCAGTGAGCATTCATCATGTCGTAATTCTCGCTGAGTTGATAATATGCAGTTAGATTAAATAAAACATTTCAACGTATGTCTCTCCTCTCTTTTTTTTCAAGTACTTTGCGCTGCGGTGAAATTATTTGAACATCATCTAAATCAGTATCGAAATTTAATTAATAAAAATCCGCATCTCCACTACAATACCGTCCATGCTTTCATTTATTCAACAAATATTTTCAATCATCGAAATTAAGCGAATATTATTTGGCATTGTTGCTTCCGTATAATATGCACTTTTCATTTATTTCTATTGTTATATTCCATACAATTCAACCAAATCACTCTAACTGATTCGGGTATAGATAATTTTTCATGTCAATAAATAATTTGTTGGTCTCAAACATTTTCAATTTGCTAATATCAGAGAAAGGATTTCGGTGTATTTCACAATGCTATTTCAATGTTTTCTGAACTTTGAGATAGATTTTTTCTGTCGTTTTCTATTTAATCTATCTTAATTTAGAATTATATATAAAATCGATTTTATGTTGTGTATGTTTTCTTCACAATAAAGTAAAATAAAAATTCTTTAAGACGTGACAAACTTCGAATGATCTAAATTTTATTTCAGATGAAGGGTACGACTGTAAGTAAGCGCGGCAAAACTTTTGTCCTCATATATCCTCGTACAAAATAGATTTGTGACAGATGAAATCGTTCTGATAACGGAAGAGTAGAATGCTGTGTTATAGGCACTAAAACTACGAGGAAATTGTCAGATAATACCGCACAGAGAGAAAGTTATAAACGCTAACTGAAGAGAATCTAGGTTCAGCATCTTATGGAATTTCGCTACGGTAGTAATGGCTGTTCCAAAGCTGCTGCCATTGTTCTCGAATCGCGATCGATGTTACATATCCCGCGAGGATTATAGCGAAACGGAAAGTTTATACGAACCGAGGAACATGATGAATTAATCGTTTCGTGGTCGCTTCGCGAGCTGCCTAAATTGGATTTTAAATTAGATCAAACAAGATATTTATTTGTATTTTTTTTTTTTTTTTACATTTTTCAAGTTTTATTGTAGAGAAATTAAAAGTGTCATCGCAATGAATTCGCAAAACGTTCATCAATTTCAAACTTCACAAATAAAAAATTATCAATATCTGATTAATTTAATTATCGATCAATGTTATTGTTAAACTATTCAAAAGTATCAGGGAATTTTAAAAAAACATATACAACATTTATTGGATGTGAAGCTTATTTTCGATCATCTAATTTGGGATAAAAAATTGTATCTATAATTTAATACGTTAATTTCTCTCGTAATATAGTGATAATCAGATATAAATGTATGCTTATATCATTTTTTTCTCTATTTAACCATTTCCCTAACTTTTTATTTTCAAGTCTATCATATTGGCTCATTGTTATATTACGCCTCTGCACGTAGCAATTGTCTAAAATATCTATAATGTCAATATATCGTAAAACGTCAATGTGCGACGTTAGAAAAAACACCGATAAATATATGCAAAATAAATACGTATATAGGATATATATACATATATACATAGGATTGAGTACTTACGTCGATTCAGAAGGTATCGGCTGGTCCATCAACTTCTCTGACACCGGGGATAGCGGATATGGCTGCACCAGAGGCTGCGTCATGCCGTCTCCATCTAAATAACATTTCGTATGCCGTCTCATTTTCTATGCATATTCCCTTTGCACACGATAACCGCGTCTCCCGATATTTCCCGAGCTCGGTCGGGACTTTATTTCTAAAGTTTGTTCCGCACGATAAAGTGCGTCAAATCCTCAGTAACAGCTCGTAAATCGTTAAAAGTATGATAATGCCCAACCGACAAACAACACGCGACGACAATGTGTCGCAGACTTGATATAAATCAGAGTATGTATATCAGAGCGATAAAACATATTTTCAATTATTATTATTACAACACGTGTAAATCTGGAAATTAATGTTCTACATATTTTATGCAACAACGAATCGTGATTTATCGGGGAATTTGATCATCTTGAACGATCCACGAGTATATGCAACGCGTAAATAGTAAGAAAATATGTGTTTTTTCCAAATTTATACGTATAGATAATTTAAAAATATGAATAAATATTTCTGAACCAAATTACGTATGGGAGACCTCTTAATAATTCGGAACCCGAAGTTTAAACTTTGTTAGCTTTCGTACGGATTCAGCTCTGATTCTACGTAATCAGTTTACGAAATATTGCATATGAATCTTCGGGTCGTCGCTTATAGCACGTTAAATTGCCGTTCGATCCAATACGGGGTTTAACTCAAACATAACGCAATTACATGTGGAACAGACGACGTTCGTCTTGCATTCCTGTTCGGTACGAGGACGTTCCGCAGGGTCGCAGTCCCTGGAGATGGCACCAACACCGTCTCTGCATTCGATCGTCCTCGTCCGTATTCCGGTGCCACAGGTCACGGAGCACTGCATAAATAAAAAGTTAAAATGCACACTTCGTGTAGAATTATAATAAGATGCAATGCGGGCCGATGAAAAGCGAGGAATAATATACACGGCTCATAAAAATTGAAATAGCCGAATTCACGTTTGAAGATATTAACAATTTACGTATGAAGAAAACGAATGAATTGACAAGATTGATAATAATAATGGACGGTATAACAAAATAACAACATAATCAGTAACAATGCAACACATTGTTGTGTCTTACATAATGAGTGTTACGCGCAGATTTAATAATAATGAAAGATTGTCTTATAATTAGGCAACACAAACATAATATTTATGTGTGTACATAGTTTATTAAATATTCCTTTATTAAATTTTCTAGTAATTGAATAAAAAAGTATAAGCCATGCAAAGTCTCTGATTTTGTAACTTGTTCTTTGTAATATATTAAAAACTGGTTTCTTCTAATGTAATGAAAAATACGAGACGCAAAAAGTCCGGCGAAAAGTAAGTCGCCGGAAAATGAAATTCGAGATTGCGTTTTTCTCCGAAAGTAAGGAAAGATGCAATCGAAACTCTTTTCGCGGCGCATTAACGACGCGGCAATTTCGCATGAAACATCGCATTCCACAAGGCGGACTAATGCCAAAGTACAATCTAATTTAAAATTCCGGATTGCCATTTTCGGTTCTCATTTCGCCGAGGTCGAAAAGTCTCGTCGGAGGCACGTTGCGCTCTCAAAGTTTCTCGTTCGCAATGAAACCTGTTAAGAAAGGCGAGAATGGAATAAAACGAAAGTAACGGGACAAAAACGGACTTAGCAAAAGAAATCGGTAGAAAAGAGATGAAGGAGGAGGAGAGAAAGAAGGAAGGAAAGCGGGGAAGACAATGAAGAAAGAGTCCGAACGTGAGAGCGCTATCGTTCAGAACGTCGAAGGTGGAAAGGTGACACGAAAGGAAAAGCGGAAACCTACTCGACTAAGTCGCCATACTCTGGCTTGCCTTCCCTTCTCTCCGCCTTCTTCTCATCTCATTTCCTCATTCTGGACTTCACCCTTCTTCATCTTTCATCTCTCTTCTACTCACTGTCTTTGCTTTTCATTTCACCCCTCCTACCCTCCTTCATGGCCAAGCCGTATAACTCGGAAAGAGTCTCGATAGCGAAGGGGAGTGCTTTAAGGAGCCTTGTGCTTTCAGTTCAATATTTGCATGGCTCCCGGGTACTCACAAAAGAGAGGAATCTATCAATTCCTGTCTTCCAGGGCGCCTCTCCGCGTACCGCGGCCTCGGATGAAATCATTATCGTGCCACGGGCTGACGGGCACGAAGCCTTTATGTATCGCTACCAGAAAAGAGCGCCATTTCTGGATGCTGCAGGTTCGTGAAAGCGAACGGGGGGACGGACTATTGTGTATCGATCAGAAATGAAGCGCCGTAAATCATGCGCCGCGCACACTTTTGCGTGCACATGACTGGGAAGATTCGCCCGCTTTGCCCGACGGGTACTCTGTGTACCTAATGCACTCATTGCTCCGTGTGCGATTGAGCGTAATGGGATTCGCGCAATTCGTTGTTCGCGCCAGGCAAATAACACTTTTCGAAGGATAGAGATATATGATATACCGAGTGTGCGCTCACATCTATCAACTGTGCAAATATATTTCGTTATAGCGTGTTTATTTTCAGGTGTTTTTCAAAAAACCATCGGCTCGTAGCAAATCTTATTTATTGATAAATTTATATATATTAAAAAATGTGCTTCCTATTTTTTTATATTTTCGCTTTAAGATATATGTCTTCTTACTAATTTATTAAAATTTCCTACAATATTTACAATCATAATCCAGTGCAAAAAATTTTCTTAACTTTCTGAAAATTAATTTTACGCGAACAAAAACTGATTAAAAAAAAATGGAAAAAAAATCTTAAACTTTATATATAATAATCTAACATTGATCAGTAATATGATCAGCGAAATATTACATCCTGCGTGCGGCGGATATCGCAATAAATATACATCTAGGGCGACGAGCCGCATTTAGCGATTTCATGAATAAAGCATGACGTCCACATTCCGTAGGGAAGTTGCAGAGATTTTTCCTTTCACGTATCTGCCAAGAAACTTTAGTTCGCTCAAGAGACGGGAGGCGTTCACGAAAACTCGTACGAACGCCATTCTTTACTGTTATCTTCCCGTACGTTCATCGTCATGTCCTTATTTATGCAACGAGGCTGCATTCTCGAGGATCATGAGGAGCTATTTTATCCACAGCGGGAGTTCTCAACGAGTAACTGAACAAGGATCGGAAAAATTTACGATTCGCAGTCTTCTGCCATGACAAATATTGTCTCCGAGCACAAATATTATCTTTCGGCATCTTCTCTAACATTTAACACATCTACATCTGCATTGAAATATTTTTCATACAACTGTTTCCACATAATTTCTTTTCATAATAGTTAAGAAATACTTAAGTGATTGCGAGTATTCAAATATTGTCAAGCAATTTCAAGTCATATATTAATTAAATGCAAGCAACAGGCGATCGGGGAAATAATAAGAGTGTTTTGGGGAAAATTTCGATTTTCGAGTCAAATCCTTTCGCAAAGCATTGCAATTCGGGGCGCCAAAGTGCGCGCTCGACCGTCTAAAGTTGGAGGAATTCCAAGTAGATAAGTACCGCGCGTTGTCGGACATGTAAAGTCGCGCGACACTTTTATTGCGGAATAAATTTGAATAACATTCAAAGAAAGTGAAAAACCTTTGATGGAAATTCGAAGTGTGTGTTCACTTCAGAGAAGCCCGCGCGATGTCAGAGCGTCCGCATTTATCATAAAGTTGCTCGACATATAACTCGCGCGTGTGTGTGTGTGTGTGTGAGACCTGAGAGTTTGTTACATAAGAGATGAAACAGCGTGTGTAACTTCCCGAACGCTCTAATCTCGATCAGATTTTCTTTCAATTTGAGAACCATGTCGTCGTTTGTTATTTCGCGGAGCGAACTTCGAGGCAGCGATTTCGCGGAGGAACTAATATCGCGACGAGTCGCACAATGAAAATTCTGGAAGGTCTCCAGGTAATGTATCGATTTTCGGCGTACAAGTGTCTATTGCGACAAGAAACTGGACCAAAGGCCAGGGGGGAAGGGACGAAGCAGGCTGTTCTGCCAGAAAGTATGCTAGGAAACTGGCATAGGCGTCGCCGAGTCGTTCGAATATTATGCAATATGTACCATGCCTGTTTGAATTGCATGTATTCACATTCAGACTGCGACAAAACGTTGGTAAACGTAAATATATATATATATAAGCGTTCTGGCCATCGCCGTGTAAATTTATCTGAGCTTCCTATGTTTTATGTAGACGTTTTACGGTAACTCTGGAGCACATCTGCTCTCAATAGTTTCTTACGTTTTACCTGAAATGTATTTCACAATCTGCGTAGCTACGATTCGCATTTGATGGACGTAAAATGTTATCTTTTCAATTAAAACGATGTTAATTTTAGTTTTTGGGTCAAGGTAATGAAAATACATGTAGTTCGCTCGCGGAAACCGACTGTAATAGGTCGACTCGAATTTAAAGTAGATTATTCCAGTTGATAAAATAATTTAATCGCAAACGAGCTCGATTCACTTTGGACGCACTAATTTGTATGCTTCTTGTTCTTCAAATAAAATACAGAAATATATTCATATTTCTGAAAGAGGAAAAAGGGAGAAAAAGAATTAAGTTTAGCAAATGTAGCTCGAAGAACGAAAGTGGAAAGAAATAATTCATTTTAGAATAAGAAAATATTTTTCTTTTTTTTCCCCCTAAAAATTCGGTTGAAAATTTTTGTATTTTTAAACCATATTAATTTTTAATATTTTTTTGTATCTCGACAACCGCGCTTCTGGTTTTCACAACCATTTTCTCTGTTCTTTTTTTCTCTTTTTACAGAACCATATGTCGCACGATTTTTTTCTAAACTTCTTTTCATTATTTTAATCTTTTTAATTTTTTGCTATGGACAATCAAAATTGCCCGATAAGGCGGAAGTCATCAGCACTTACTCTATCATTGACTGTGATACAAGACGTGAGGCGTCTCGTATTGAATCTCGAGTGCACCGAAATCAAAGTTCTGGAACACCTCCAGCGATTATCTCGATTTTTGGCCAGCCGAAAGAATAAGAAACTGCGGGCCATTGAATGTCGTGCCAGAGGTAGCACCGAAGCGCTCGCGGGCGCCGCGGAGTCGTGCTCGCAATCGAGGGATGCAACGTGCAGAAGCAGCCCCCGATATCTGAATCGCATTCGTTTGCGAGAGCTCGCAACGATATGCAGCGTTAGCACGCCCTCGTAGACAATGTCGTGGGTTGGATGCTTGCGCGTGCGAGCTGCGACGGCGATGACCTTTCGCGATGCGCTTATACCGACGAGCTTATCGAGCCGTCGGCCGCGAGCGTGTGTACGCCACTTACACACGTTAGGAATGCATGTGCATGCGTTTCGCGAGTGACTTCGTTGAGCCGCGTGAGCCTTTTCTGGATAAAACACTGTATATCTTTCGCTCTCCTTTCCTCCCCTGCATTTTTCATGCTTTCTTTTCTCTTCTGTCTCAAAGATATAAGAAATGCTCCCGGTAAATATGTGTGTGCTCACCATTCTTATTTTCTACCTTTAAAAAAAAAAAAATCTTATTTTATCTGCTAGAATTTAAAAGGCGACGACATAGACGAAGAATAATGTGGAAAAGAGGATTTATCGATGTGCTCTTCCTTGTTTTCCCGTATTATGATGAAGTACAAAACAGAAAATTGTTCATCTGACTACATTTCTTGTTTAAAATCTGCAAGACACATTAGCAAATATGCACACTCGCTCTCTTTTCTGAGAGCGAAAATGTAACACCTATTTTGAAACAATGTATGCAAAAGCAGGATTAAATAAATTTTAATTTATTTAATTTAATATATTTAAAATATACTTAAAGTATATTTAATAATATTTAAACTTTAATATATTTTTTTTTTTTCTACATTTTTTAATGTTATCATTTTGAAAAATAATAACAGGAAATTGTTTACGTATCTAATTCAATTGCGAGTTGCATGTGTATCTAAGACAAAGTATGACCGTATGTATATCTGTTCAAAAATACAGACACATATCTATTACGGTGTCTCAATTTCTCCCTCGAACCGAATAGAAAGCTTTTCGCGACAGCATACTTCGCTTCGTTTTCTCTTATCTTTGACTTTGCCATGGAAAGAAGGACAGCGTGGTTTGTCTTTTACCGAGACGGCTGAGGATTTGGAGGAACGAAGCGAGCAGAAGAAGAGTAGGACGAGCGGAGTGCAAAGAGGCGGTTATTTGGCGACTAAATTGTCCTGTTTGATGTCGCTGGCTGATGTGGCCCGAAGCATCCTCAAAGAGTTACCGCGGGCAAGAATACGGCTGGATGAACCGGATGGCGGTGGCGGCTCGGAAGACATCTCCCGCGCAGAAAAAGAGATGATCCGCATTCGTTCATGCGTTTGCCTACTAGCACAGTTTAAACGTAATTCGTATACAGATCGACGTGCAGGCCAAGCGGTTTTGCGGTCTGCTTCCATTTTTCCGCTTCCAGATCTCCGTGCGAGAATGTTACATCGCTCTCCTCTTTCATGCCGCAAAGGATTCGCCACCGCTGCCACGACGACGACAGCGGCGGTATTCCGCTTGGGCAATTCGCGATTCCTCGTGTTCGAGGAAATCCGATTTAGTCATTGGACAGACGACGGTGGCGCGAATGAGAGTGCCGTTTCATCCACGCTCGTCTCGCTCTACTCGATACAACCGTCTGTGCTTGGAAAAGACTTAAAGGTATACGCCTTTTTCTCATTCTTCCTCTTTTCCCGCACGGAGGAAAAATGCGAGCCAGTTATTGAGTGACGATGTGCTTTTTGAGAGCATCTTGAAAAGATATTAAAGTCGCTTCCGCCTGTGAGCACTTGATAGTTTTTCTAGTGCTCGAACACTAATATATATTTTATAGATATTTTATCTGTACTTTTTATATTACGAGTTTCGGGTCACGTTGCAAAAATACATTTTTAATTTACTTGGAATTAATACTTAAATAGTTCGCAAAAAAAGCAGGTTAAATATATTTCGTTAAATTGGCATAATGTTGAGTAAAATTTTGATTAAGAAAGTAAAAATAAATTATTTGCGTCGTTCAATTTGACACGAATTCGTGTCAGATGCACACATAAAATTAATTGTAAGAGTATCTAGTATTAAAGCTTAATGTTTGCATAAATATGCAGATTATCATTAAAGACTTCGTTTGCTTCTATTAAAATGGAAATCTCTTTCCATCTTTTGTCGGTCTGTCTATGTGCAATTATAGCGGTTATGCTTTTGGAGAAAATCGCATTCTCTTGTAGAAATGGAGAAACACGGACGGAATTGTGATTGTGTGAGTAAGGTTGCATTTTCGTATAGTTCTCGAATAGCGTTTACGTATTTGTCGTCGAAAGCAACGTGCAAATCGTGCGCAGCTGTTAATTTGCTTTGTCTTTAAGCGCTACAGCGGAATTTGTCGAAAAGGGTGACGAATAGAAGCAGAATTTTATGTGCTTGCGATATTATCGCATAATTAAAGACTTCCTTTGCTGTATGCATTTGTGTCCAAGCGTATAATAACACCGCAATTTGGATTTACAGATAAATTAACGCGAGCTTTGAGCAGTGCGCGCACTGTTGAGACTGTTTGAAGAGTCTTTAATTAAATCCATAGTCAATCGTGAGTTCTTTAGGTACATATTATACATTGATAATGTAATCACGTATATAGATTCGAAATAATTATATAATTGATATTGGCGATTTTATCATTATTAGATTAAGTAATCTTTATCTTTATTTTTCCTTTGTTTTTAGAAATCGATAAAGAGGCAAATATATCAAAATTAAAGTTAACCACATTACATTAACATTTGTCGATCAGTAATTCAGTTATATACATTCAATATTAAAATGTTCTACTTTTTAACTATTTCATTTATTTTTATTCTAATAACAAATGTTATTCAAATGTATTGTTTAATGGTTATATATTAATACACGATAACCTTCGCACGAATATCTGGCTGTTGGCTCTTTACGCTCCTTTTAAATTTATTGATTTTAGCAATCATCAGAGCCTGATACATCTATTATTTTCTAATAACAAATGTTATTCAAGTCGTATATAACGTATTGACATTTGTCTACGTGACCGATTTTAACAATTTATCTATAAAAATTGAAGATACGAGATATTATTTCAAAATTATTTAAATAAAATATGTCACGTCAATAAGCTAATATTTTGAGAAAGTAATTAATTCAATAATTCATCGGACGGATTTTAAGAAAACATTCTACTAAGCATGAATTATCCAATCGATCATTTCGCGCACGTAACAACCTAGCAACATTCACGCGGAGGGTAAAGGGAGCGTGCAAATCGTGCGCAGCCATTAACCCCATTTCCCTCTGGCCAGTACGTTCTGCAGTAAAACTCGCAGCGGAGATAGCAAAAGCTGCGCCGTATGTGTGTTATGTGTTTGCGACTGTGGACCCGACGCATGCATCTAAATCCTTGATTGCGGCGAGCAGGCTTAACGTTTCCGCCCTTAAATGATACGAGCGAGACACCGTGTCTCCACCTGCATCTCGGCCTGCAGCGCGTGTACAAACGGCGTGTTTTAGTCGCATAGAGAATTGCATGCACTCTCACCTCGCTCCATTTATCGGTTTCCCACATCGGGCAGGACACGGTGTTGCAGGTTTCCTGAGTGCGCGGTTTGTGCGTGCCGATGCACTTGTGGTCGGGTAACTGCAATAATAAAAATTTAATGTAATAGGTCGTGTATAGGCATACGTGGATTGTAGATACGTGACAAAGTGTATGTGACATCCGCAAACTAAAGAAACATTTTTTTTAATCGTGGATATGTATTAGAAAATAAATGAAGCGAATGACGCGCGAAGTATTAATAATTACCGGATTGCTGAATATTTCGAAATAAAGAATTTTTGCAAATCAATAAAAAGGAAAATACGAATTGTATCTTGTGAAAAATATAATTTTATCAAAATACTTCATATTAAACCGTCAAAATATTTGCAATAAAACATTTTGTTAAGGAAAAATCAACTCTAAGTATGTTACAGAAATTCTGGCTCAAAAGACATCAAAAGAGAGGTGTAAGACATTCCATACATATGCAATATCGTGCACCGCCTACGTGTATATGTATGTCAGTGTGTATGTGTGCGTGGGAACTGTCGGATGAGGAGGTTTTACGGTGAGCGACGGCGTATACTCGCGAGCAGCTCTTCGAGTTTAAACGAACCGAACTGGGTTAGGGATCGTGGAATCTTCCAAGACGGTTGTGAGAGGAGCGAGACAGGCTACGTATGTAAATGTGACTTTCAGACAAGTAGGAAAGTACGACATAAAATTCTAGAGATGAGAGGAATGGTTAACGTTCCGTCCGCGCGGAAGCGCGGCGGAATTACGGCGTGTCTAACGTCAGTGGCGAAATGTGAAAAATGTGGCGTTTTATCGTGTGCACGCGTAACGCTGATTCTGCCGGGTTGGCAGATTTATTCCGGAAAGATTTATTTGTCTTTACATCGTAAAGTCCCGTTGCGTTGACATTTTTCTGAGGGGCAGATGCGCTATGGACATTCTTCGAAGTTATCGAACCACGCCATTTTTCTGACACGACTACATTAATTTTTCACATATGCCAGACAAATTTAAATAATCAAATTATGGTTTATGCCAAAACCACGAATGTGCAATTTGTAGTTTAGAGTTATTGCTATTTGAAAATTTAAATTCCTGCTTGTTTTATTCTTGTAATTCCTTCAGATTATTCGAGTGCTGATTTACTACTGCTATCGCATTTGTGTCTCTGGCATAAAATCTTTGTCTAAAATTGAATAAGAAAATGACTAGTGAAAAATCGGAAAATTGGCACATTCGTGGCATGAGAGAGACAATATGATATTTGACTCTTAAATTGTAATATTTCATGCATATTCTGGAAGAATATTCTACATACTCTGTTTAGACAGTATCGCATTTGTGTCTCTGGCATAAAATCTTTGTCTAAAATTGAATAAGAAAATGACATTAGTGAAAAATCGGAAAATTGGCACATTCGTGGCATGAGAGAGACAATATGATATTTGACTCTTAAATTGTAATATTTCATGCATATTCTGGAAGAATATTCTACATACTCTGTTTAGACAGTAGATTTTTCAACGATAGTTGAATGTAATTGGTATTCGCCAAATTAGTGAATATTGTTAATTTACAGCGATAAAGTAGTCAAAAAATTCATAATATATTTATTTAAAACAATGTATTAAACTCGCCAAGATGAATATCGATAATCAACAGCTGTTCCACAACACAAAACGTTAATCGCCGAAATTTTGAAAGTAATTTAAAATTTGAGGTGTTTGTTTTATGTTAAGAAATAAGTAATATCACCGAGTCTAATGAAATCGTTACAGGACCAATGTGAGTTCAGCTAACGAAAACTTTATTATTGAAAAGTCTTCGCGTCTCTGATCTTTACCTTCGTGGTTTCGTTCCCATTCTCCTCGGTGCAGAACACGGACCTCGTTCGCGATCCGCCGCCGCAGCTCGCACTGCACGCGCTCCATTCTCCGCTCACCCATCTGGAAAAAAAAGAGGAAGAAATCGCTGAAAGTGACGGCACCACTGGGGTAAACTGAATTTGTTATGATAGCCACGTAGTTGGATCCACATGTAGCAAAGTCGTAACATTGCAGGCGCCAATAAGAACTGATTAACATTCCGTTCAAGTCGATGGCAAAAGTATGACAAACGTTCGCGTTATTTAAGACCGGCGTAAAAAAATAAACGCGCCATCAATGATCGCAAGTTTATGATTCGAAAAAGAGGTCATGCTACTTAAAATACTTTAAAATACAGCAAGTAATCTTATTCATATATTTCTTTTTTCTCTTTTTTTTTTACATTAATAGATCTGTCCGTATGTCATATTTAATTATTCGTTTTAAACTGTGAAATATCTTTAAAGTTGTCAAGTTTTAACATTGAAATAGAAATTCTTGAATTATAAAAGAGGGTGTTTGTTCTTCTTTGTAATTTTACATTTTCTATCGTAATAACATATGATTGCAGACTAATATTTGCATTGATTATACAAACTAAACGTAAAATTAAGGCAAAGAATCTCCAAAGCAAATAACCTTCTTCAAAAGATTTCTTCATCTCTTTTATCTCTTCTACTACAAATAAACTTCTTAATTTATATTTCGTTCCCCATTCAGAGAGCATTTTTTGGTTCATGACGTTACAAAAATGTCCATATTACAGTCAATAATGAATGACAGAATGTAACTTTGTTTTTTATGTCACGATAATCACAAATATTTTAGATTTAAACGCCCGTTCTATTAAACTTTCTACCGACACCTTTGATGCTTTCCACTTTCAACGTATTGGGCATACAGCTGTGAGAGAGAAGATACCGATTTGCAGGGCATTTACCAAGTAACACGGGTGGAGTGGCTTCTATCGAGCTAGCAGACTTTTTATGAAACTGTCAAAGTCACTCTCAGCATTTTTCATGCACGACACCGTAAAAATGTTTCATGTACGAGCGATTGCGCTAAATGACAAAGTAAAACGGTAAACTCCAGCTCGTGTCTGGCGTTACGCGCGGGGTATCGATCATCGATTATCATCGGCCTTGCCGATCCCGCGAACTCTGGTATTCTTCTCACGTGATCTTCAAAGTCATTTTTGATGCGTTCAATTTTCTATGGCAAAGCCGCGTATGTATTGAGTACACAAAGTGTTCGGTAAAAGCCGCAGTCGAACGTAAATTGATTCCTGAAATTTGAAATTAATTGCCGTCAACGTTTTCAATTTCTTTCGCATTGCGTGTCTACTTCTAAAAAAAAAAAAAAATCCCACTCTATGCGCTGCCCAATCGATTGATCGCGCTAACGACTTTTGGCTTTATGATGTAAACCTTGTTTTCAACGTGACCCGTATATCTGCGATATATGCGATGAATCTGTAATGCATATGTCGACCTCACCAACTTTTTTAGATCTCTTTCCATATCAAACTGAAAAATGATGCGTCGCGGTAAATTTAGAAGACGTAAATGTGTTTCGTTTAAAGAAAAACAATTCAAATACGTGTTCTTTTAATGTTGCTTGCTCCAATGTAGCAAATAACCAGGATTTGTTGACATTTATTCAATTTTTAGATATATTTAAGCAAAACTGATCTGGAATCAAAAACAAACCTGGTCTGGAATCGTCACGCACTATCTCTCTTGATAAAATGCTGCTCGACCTGGATGATTCAATTTTGATAACAGTGACATTCGATCGAATATCATGCTTAAGCGCTAACTAGGGTAAGTCATAATGTACGATTAAATCATAACTTCCGGATTGCTACCTCAAAGCGCGGTTGCGGCTTTTCACGGCGGTCAGAGTACGGTTCCTCTCTAGGGGAAAGGTGAGCCGCTTAGTCGGTCTGGGCGAACTAAATTCAACTAAACTCGCGGCCACTTCAATTAGCTATTGACCGATTCGCCACTCAATCAATGCTGCTGGTAATTTATCAACGACCTGATAGCCTCGCGATATCACTCCGTCGTCAACGCTATGAAAGCCAGTCAATCGCGTTCCGCGTCTTCCATCGTGATCGTTAGACGAAACGACTCGATAATATTAGAGACACCACAAGCACCTGAGCGGCAACTTCCTTGAATTTCGTCAAATCGATTGCGCAAGTGACGTGCGATAGATCGAGTGAGATATATTACAAAGCGAACGTCCGCTCAATGAAGCGCGTTTCCCAAGCGCAATTTCATAACGTAACGTATTATTTCTCGTAATAAGATTTTTAATTAATAATTTTTTGTAAAGTAAACTTTCTGTCCAATCTTTTAAAAGCAGCGAAACACCAAGTCTATAGTCGTGGAAACTAAAAGCAATTTGTAATCGTTTACAAAACAATAACAAAAAGCATTGGCAAAGATCATCGACTGTGTTGTGAACATTGAACTATGATTTCAAACATAAAGAACAAATTCTATACACTAAACTGTAAACTTTCGCATTATTCCACGGCTTTCAGCGAGCTCGCGTATCCAGAGAGAATAGTTTGCGGGAGTTTTTGTCCGAGTCGACTTGGAATATCTCGTCGTTTGTTGGACGATTCCCATCGCGAGAACTGGCTTTAAATCGCCGCCTCGCAACCCTTCCACGAGACGGAAGAGAAATATTGTTATAGGAACAAAGATCGTTTGTAGAGAGCAGCAGTTCCTAATTTTCCGCTCGCTCCTCGCTCATTTCCTTGAAGACCCGCGAAATATCATTTGCGCAGAAATTACAATTCATTTGCGTTAATGAGAAATACGGAAAAAAATATAATATTGCACGGAGGAATTCATATTTTATTATTTTCCGAAATCGCGCATGTAAGACATGTAGAATGTCGACTTCTCGAACTGTACACGCGAGTAGTTTGATGTTCTTTGACGTAGAACGTGCATGCAGTTCTACTAAAAGTAGTTTAGTCTGTCCGAAAGTACTCACTTCGTTGTGCAGGGGTGCGTGTTGCACGGCATTCGGGTCTTTTCTGGTCTGCTCTTTGCATCGCAATAGCTGTCCTCCACGACACTCTCGTCTGAGCCGACCGATTTGCACACCGCTATCGCTACTTTGAAACCTATTAGTACAAAAACGCGACCGGTAAATTAACTCCCGAATTTAGTGATAGTGAATACTCATGCAAATAGTATTGCGATGCTTGTGAATTTCGCTCGTTGTCTTTTTATTCAACGACGTTCCACTTTGCAAGATATTCGTGCAAATTATTGAACAACAACAAAAAAAATGTGAAAACGATTTTTCACGCCGGTATTATAAAGAATTTTGATTGAATGCATTTTTATATTATCTGAAGACGATTTGATGAATATTCACATAGCAGCGCGATACTTTATTTATATAATATTTTTTGTAGGAAAATATGGCTGAATTAATTCAGTAATTACCTCCATCGCAAGCCTTGGAACAGCCGGATATCGATTCCAAACTCCAGGAGTATCGCGATTGACAGCTTGATCCATTCCCTCCGCAAACGCCACACGCATCTGTGTTCTTGTTGCTACCCACTCTAAGGTCGCAGCCAACCTTCTGCAACAGAAATACACGCTCGATTAATGTAGCACGTCTTCCGTATAATGGATCTTTGTTAGAGGCGGTTGTCGCACATTATTACACATTAACATTGTCAGAAACATAATTTTGCCTTAAGCGTGTTAAATGAGCGGTAATTCTTGTCCCATCGTTCCTAATGCGTCGTCGAGGAGCAATAATAATTAATGTAGATGCTACTGACATTTTAAACAGAATAAGAATTGCCTATGCTCGAAAAAATAATTTAATGTACAAAGATACAATCGGGAGCTCTTTTTTTTTTACCTAAAATTTAATATTTTTTGCAAATTTCCATCAATTACTCTTTGGTGTTGAATGTAGAAAATTGATCAAAACTTCATATTGCACTTATAACATTCGTTTACTATTTACGTGAACATTTTCCTATATCATCTACAGTCGGAGGTAAAAATATGGCAGTGGCGACAGCAGCATTTCGGGGGCATTAAAAATGTTGACGAATGCTGGCGTGTCATAGGAATTCATGCGTAAACGAGAAACATCTCGCGAAAATTCAGGACCTTTGAGGAAGCGAACGAGAAGATGGTGGAAGTGGCGGAGGCGAAGCTGACGTCGATTCGTGACCTGGCTCGGACGGCAAACTGATTTGTCATTCAGGTTGCATGGAGGTTTGCTCGGAGGTCGGGGAGTACATTATTCATCCCTTATCCGGGGCGAGAAGAGTGAAGCAAACTAGAAGACGAAGGTGCGAGCGAACGGGCGAAGTGGAACGCGTCGAAGATGCCAGGTGGAAGCGGCGGAGGAGCAAGAGAGTAAAAAGGAGAGGGATGTGAGCCTAATGAGGGACCTCTTGTATGATCAGCTGCGGCGGCGCCGCCAAGATAATCCGAGATATCGTCAAGTGACCTGCGAGGCGCGAATAAATCGTCCGTTGCGGTTGTGCGTCCAAATTTTCGAAGTCGGCAAATCTATAGAGGCGCGTCTGTGCGAAAACGCAAAGTGAAAAGTGAGGAAATAGCGAAAGCAATCAAATAATTTGTAATTATAATTTATCTCTCAAAATCTCTTTCTGCGTCTGTGATAATTTTACTCTTCATTAATTATGCTGTAATTTATATCGTAATAATAATACACATGTAATTGTGTTATTATGTTACACGTATAATTGCACAATTTGTTTATTTTAGTAAATAGTAGAAATTGTGATTCTACTGCTCTTCTCGTTGTTATTTGTTATTGTCTCCAATTGTACGAATTATCCGTTCACCATTACAAGTCCATATCTTCTTTTACATACAATTCCATCGTAACGGTGTCGCTCAATGAAAGCTAGACATTGTCGAACGAAAATTGTGCGCTAAATTCAGTGCAACGTGCGCACGGAGCGGCGGTCTCCATTTCAGTCCAATTGACCGTTCGATTTGGATCCAGAATCGAAATCGGGCTCGATTATCGTTCAAGTTTCAAACTCTCTGCGAAATACTTCCATTAAACATCGGTGATCGTCATTCGGCGAATTGCGGCGGTTACGAGCGCAGTTTTATACCGCGCACCAATGCAGAAGCCAGTTTAGGCAGGTACTTTATTTCCGTGCTCCCGAAACGCGAGACTGCGCTCTCTAATAGCCAAGATCGGCTTCACGCATCGAGAAGCTACACTAATGCGAGAGTAAAAGTATCCGACGGAATGTGGATATCGGACAAAGCCGGATTGAGATAAAAGCACGAGCGGGTGAAATATATTTGATGCATTCGCCTAGTTTCTAATCTTCGGCTAGTGTAATCGCGAGAACGTTTCATCCCTTCTAAAAGGATTACTTTATTACTCAACCTTAATATACTTAAAGTTTCAGACTTCTTTTTATTTATTTGACCTTACAACTATTTTTCAATGAAAATAAAAAGAATTAATTTAAAGAATTCAATGCGTGATGGCAAAAATAATTCAGTTTACAATTATAATTCATCACTCATATCGTAGATTCTTGTCGTAAAGATAATCATGAGAAAATAAGACCAGCAGTTCAAACAATTGCACCCGGTGTTTCTGGGATACGTCAAAATTTTATTTCGCACGAGAATGATTTTGTTTTGAACACTTTCTGTTCACTGTATGACAATGAAATAGAATAAAATGTCTTGACATGGGCGTGCGCCTGCATGGCTTCTTTATACAAAAGGCATAGCATGCGGGTGCGCCGGATTGAGTTTACTTTGTCGCGGAAGTGAAAATCAATGATGAGGATCAGTAATAGATAGGGCCATCGAAGCAACCCGTTATTTCTCTAGGTAAACAAACCGGGAGAAACGAGGATTCAGCTGGGCGTGAGAGATGAAATATCGCGGGGCTTAACGGCGCTCCTGCGACCCTTTTCAGTTCTTAGTTCGACACAAACAATCATTACTAGTAATATGCGCAAAAAAATAAGAAACTATAAGTATTAATGTTAACATTCTCATCCACACAAATTGTTATTTTTATATTATTACTCATTATATTATTATATATTGTACTATATCATTACGTGTATAATACATATTAAATACGGTCAGTAATTAATTTTAATTATTATTATTATTATTATTATTCTAATTGAATCAATTTAATTATTATTAAATAGATGTGTGATAATAATCTACGCTACGAAAATGTGTAGATTTTTTTACTATTTATATAATATATAATGAAATATTGAAAACTCCTCATATATACATATCACACACACGCAAGAAAAGTGACACAAATCAAAAATATCAAATTGTTCAGGAGAGAGAAAAGAAGAAAATTGCGTTAACGCTTCCTATTAACAATATTATGAATTGGTTTTTATTTAAAATTCAGTCGCAGATTATAAATCAGCTGAAGCAAGCTTGATTTTATGGAAAATAATTTCACATGTCTATGCTTGGTTAAACAAGAATTTTTAAATTAATTATTTATGCCAGTATTAAACATAGCAGACTTATTTGAACTTAACTTCTATCACTTTTTTTTAATGAAAACCGATGTATATAGAATACAATCCGCAAATAAACAAAGTTCAAAAAATTTCAATTTGTGTCACTTCTTGCGGGTGTGCGATATACACATTTTAGTGTTACATTCTGCGAAAGAAATTCCATTATGAGATTTACACAAACAAAATTTTATAATAATTTCAAACTGAAATCGACGCGGAATTTAGATCAATACACTCACTCCCTATTCAGATTGGAATATCAAAGAGATCAGTAGAAGCCGATAATTGCCAATGTCTCGTGATTTTACACACCGTAGTGATTTCGTTGCGCAAATTTGACTGGCATTCAATTATTCGATGCGCTCGAGATTCTATTCGCTGTTCCATGTACTTTTCTGGTCCTTAGCATCCCTGACGTCGCCACCCCATTAAGATACACCCTTTCTAGTCCCGCACCGCTGGCATTTCCTCGCTATCGCACCCCAACTTCTCTCCCTTTGCACTCGTTTCTACCTTTTAACATAGTTTTCTCGCGAATGGGATTTACAGAGGGAAGGGATGCTTAACCCCGGGCACTTTATTCGCCCTCGTGTTTTCTCACTGGCGTGATAAAATTTATTGTGTACCTGTCCAGGACCGTACGATTCTAATTCAATCTGTGCTTTTCATACGTTTATCTATTATGCAATGCGCACTTGTTCGCGATTTTGGATATTTATGGGCGATTTAAAAAAAAAAGAAATTTATTTCAATTTAGGTTAATTTTCTTTCAGACGAAAAAAGAAAAAAAAACTGCAAGAGAGATTGGAAAGAAAGTAAAAAGTAGGTAAGAACTGGAAAGCAAATTTTTGCCTCGTATGGATTTTCCCTTGCTCTTTCCCTTTTGTTCTGTAGCATTAATCTTAGTCAAACTTTATTAAAAAGTTGCAGTTTGACCGAAATTTAGAATACGAACTTTGATAAGATACACCGGTCTTCATTTAAAGTATTCTTTTATATTCACTTAAAGTATTCTCTCATTTTCATGCAATTTGATAAGAGTAGAGGCATACTTAATCACTATTTCTGAAGGATAATTTCTTTTTGTTGCAGAAAAGTACCAAATGGAAGCTTATCATGACTTTGATAAGAAAATATGAAACTTGCGGCGCGAATAGCATTTGTTTTATGGATGGACATTTCATAGACATTTTCTTTTGCATCGTAATTGCAATCAATATTTGTTTGTATTAAAATGATCAAAATTCTAAAAAAAAATCTCACTTCCGAAGAATTTTGCGAAATATCGAAGGGACACTCGCAGAAGATTATAGTTTCGCGGAACAGTAGAATAGTATAATTATACTACGACTAAAATTCACAATTGTAGTAATTTCTCAAAATTCGCTATTCCCGCTATTACAGACGGCGAAAAGTGAAATAATTTTCACAACCCTGAAGATAAATTTTAACGCGTGCGCAACGTAATGAAAAAGCTTGGCGCGTCCATTGGACGTGTCCACAACGAAAGCAGTACTCGGCATCTTTAATAACGCAAAACCAGTTTGCGTTCACCGGAGTTTGCTTAATGCTTAATTACGTGGACTTCTCTACTGATTAGATATTGTCCCTCCGACTGCGACGCTGGCGTCGCTGTTATGAGTATCCGTTAATTATTTCCCGCAAACGCGTTCTGCCGGCGTTATTGTTAATCCGATTTCTTTCTGCCTGTTTCGCGGTATCACGAGTTTCATTTAATTTAGGATCAAAGAATTAAAATTTTAATACTACGTCGGGAACGCGCATTATATTTGGGCAGCAAGAAAATGTCTAATTCTTAGATGAATATACTTTAGAAAAATATAAAATATTTCTTGCAAATTATTTATTAATAGTTAGAAATATTAAATAAAAATATAACAATCTAATTTTATTATGCAATAAAATGACAGGCATATAAATAATGTGCATAGATATAATAAATTTAATAATTTAATTATGAATGATAAATAATGAAAATGGCGATATAAGAGCCGTTGCAGGATGTTAGTGCTAAATTTTTAATTTTCTTAAAGAAATTATTAAATTAGTCTACAAGAGACAGTTAAAATTGTACACCGATCTCAATTCGAGATACTTAAAGTGTACGAAATTTTAAAGTACATTGTTCTCATATATCGAGAAACTTTAATGTACGTATAGGAATTATTGTAAAGAAAGGAAGAGAGAAAAAATATCAGGGCGCGAGTGGCTAATTATGAATATACCCTATAATTCCACAATTAATTAAACAAATAAATCATATATAAAAAATGAATATTTGCCGTTAGTATATAAGAATTTTTAGAAGGTAATAAGAAATTTTAATAAAATTTAGCGTAAGAGTTTTTTTCTTCAAAAATTATCAAGAAAATATATATATTCAAATTATCAAATAAAATTAATCCATAAAGAACGCGCAATGTTATTGAATAATAATATGCCAATCTTCATTACGCTACTAAAAAATGTGTTTGCGCATATACACCATATGCATATATACGCGCGACGTAGATCAAATTAAGTTAATGGACGATGAGATCGGGCTTCTCGACACGCCCACGTTAAATATTAGCAGAAGACTGACCTGGGTGTTTCGTTAGGTTGCATCTTCTCAACGTGATGCTAAACACGCTAGCGTCGTAGCGACGCCAGAAACCAACGAGTTGCGAATGCGTTTAAGATACTACCCGGAACATGCGCCTATGCGCCAACATCCAGGCGAGTCTTCTCCAACCCCGGAGTTTCCCTCCAACTCCAGAAGTTTCATCTTACGAAGTTTCGACAAGAGACGTGGCAATTGCGGTTAAATTCTTAAGTAACGCCTTCAATTTAATCTCGGGCTTAAGACCAGCTCCACCAAAGTACCTATTTAAGAACGTTGCTTATCTACTTAATTAATAATTTGTCAAATTCTTCTGCAATTTTATGTTTCTAAAATAAAAAAAAAAAACAAAAAAACAAATAGCAAAAAATAAAATAGACAACTAGTCTAC